TCTGCATTGGCTGGCCCAGTTGCACCTAACTCTGGATGATGAGCATTAAAATCTCCAGCAAGAATTACATTTTCCTGCGTGGCCAAGGCAAGCACTGCCTCTGCTTCTAGTTTACGTCTAGGGGGCTTGTAGACGTTGTATATGAGGAGCTCAAAATTAGCCATATTCACTGTAACTGCTAATACCTCTACTCCATCCCCACATGAAACTGAGTCTATTGTCTTGCTGGGTATAGTGTTTCTGACTAGGGTCATTAATCCTCTTTGTCTCCCCCGCTCATACGATAGAACATAGTGCTGATATCCAGCTAATCTGAAGGATTTCGTGGCTGGGAAAAGAGTTTCTTCCAAAACGATTATATCTGCTTTCGTGCTGATTGCAGCCTCCTGAAGTGTGTGTTTTTTATTTCCAAGATCTTGTATGTTCCACTGCAGAATTCGTAATGGCCAGACGACGGGTTCGGTTGGTGTTGCTTGTTCTACTAGAACTCCTCCTCGGAATCGACCTCTATATTCTCCGCCTCGCAAGTCGTGTCGCTGCAAATCGGACTGCATTGATAGTTCGTGGTCATCCCCGACGTTGTTGGAATCTGTGCATAACTGTGGTCCATCGCTATGTTGTTGGAAGTGCTGCAGGTCGGACTGCATTGATTGTCCGTGGTCATCCCCGGCATTGTTGGAATCTGTGCAGAACTGTGGTCCATCACTTTGTTGTTGGTATTGCTGCAATTCGGACTGCAGAGAATGCTCGTGGCCGTTTCTTGTGTTGGTGGAACCTGTGCATCTCTGCTGGTCAATACGTCTTCGTTGGCGTTGCTGCATATCAGACTGCATTGGCTGTTGTTGTCTGTCTCTTGTGTTGGAAGATTCTGTTGATCGTGGGTGGTCACTGCTTCTTGCAGTTGCGTTTGTGAATGTCGATGTTCCGGAGTCTTGACTATCCGACTGTTGTCGGTAGTCAGTATGTCCAAGTTGCGTTGTTTGTCCTCCCGTGCTCCATCCTGTCGGAGACTGTCTATTTCTCGTGTAACTGTGGTCTGCTGCACGATCTTGTCCATTATCACACAAGTGATGTCTTGAGTCTGTTGCTGTGAGGCGTTCTGCGTCATCTGTAGGCAATTGATAATGGTCTCTGCCATGATCTTCACGATGGTTTTCAGCTGGACCTCGGTAAAACTGTATAGCTGGTGAGTAGATTCCGAAAGTAAGTGTTTTCTGCTCTTTTGCATTTGCTGTACTTCTGCAACACTTTCGTGTAATGTCTGATTCGGAATTAACAGATTCGGGAAATTTTGCTCTGTGAGAGTGGGTGGCTGTTGTGGCTGTGCACGAGTGTTCCAGACGTTGGTGTTGGGGTATGTATTGCTGGGCAGTGTGTTGATCCTGGCCTGAGCTGTCTGCACTTTTTGTTTCCGTGCAGAGCAGGTTGTGCTCCAGGCATGATGTTTGCCTCCACAATTTGGACATTTGGCTGTTGTGGTCTGGTTTGCCTTGTGCTTGGCAATACAGTCTTTGGTGGGATGTCTCAGGCTGCACACTCCGCACCTCTCCTGTCCTGTGCAGCGTGACTGATGGTGGCTGTATTTCTGACACCTGAAGCAGCGTAGGGGTTCCGGGACGTATGGCCTCTGTCGGTATGTCCCCCAATTTCCAAGACCGAATGTTTCCGGCACATGTCCCATGACGGTCACCAGAACCTGACGCGTCGCTGCCTTGTCTACTTTTGTGCGGCAACGTTCCGCATTCAGGACTTGCTTGTGTTCTAGCACTGGATCCAGGGGAAAGTCGATTGGGTATCCCAAAAGCACGACTCGTGTGCGTCGTTCTGAAGGGTCCAGCTTTACCAAGCACACAGGTTTCCCCTGCAGGACTCTTACCTTCTCTAAGTAATGTGCAGTCTGTTGGTCTTGTGGTGTCATTATTATTTCTCCCTTCAGGTTGACTGTAATGGAAAGTTTGAGCTCTGGTTGTTCTTTTTCCATCGCCGTTACTACTCCATATACCGTAGGTAAGCGGTCGGTCTGCATGATCTTGAATTTTGGAAGATGTGCAGAGGCTGGCGATGTCTGGTGTGAGACTGGTGGTGTCCTCCCCTGTCTCATACTGCTGTCCTGCGGCTGGGCTGTGGAGAGAGGTACATTGTCTGACACTGGCTGGTGTGAAACTGGTGGTGTCCACTCCTGACTCATACTGCCGTCCTGCGGCCGTGTTGTGGACAGAGAAGCATTGACTGACACTGGCTGGTGTGTGACTGACGCTGTCCTCTCTAGGTCCATTACGTCCGCTGACTTGCTGGTAGAAGCAAGTGGTAAAGCCTCGATAGCAGTTTTCTTTGGTGCCTGCTGCACATCGGTCCACCGTCCCTCCTCGTCCGAAAGCTGCTTCCATTCCCTCTTGCGCTGAGCCTTCCCCATGGCTCTCTACACGTAGTGAGAACCGACTCAAACTACCGGAGCGAGCAGGCGACACGTCCTCACTGCACGGTAGCTCAGGAGCAACCCCCACTATCAACTGGCTGGTCAACACTGGCCATAAGATACAGCTTACGCCATCTGTTGACATCAAATTACACCTATAACAAATTACCCCACAAAATACAACTAACGCCATCTCTTTTTTTTCCAACGCACTATAAATAGCCAAACAGCAACCCATAAGGTGGGTTGTTGTGCTCGGGTAGGAGGTTCCAAGCTCCGCCCATAGATGGTATGGGGTGCATAATAAATGGCATATCATTGGTAGATATTCTTTGTTGACATTCACACAACAGCCAATCACAGGAAAGGATCAGCTATAGGTGCCATCCAGTTAGTAAATCATCTTAGTTCAGCCCACCAGTCCTCCTTATGGAATTCTGCTTTAACTTTAATTTACCCCAAAAAGTGAAGTATTAATTATTTAAAGTGTTAATAAAGTGATAATTAAATATTGCAGGATATAACAGATGTTATATAAAAATGGGTTGGCTACCTAACTTGAGACGTTATTATTGGGTGTTGCCTTAACACAAATAATGGTACGCTGCTCTGCCCTCTTATTCCAGTAAATTATTCAGTTAGATGGATATTTCTATCAGGTGCAAAACAGAAATTGTTGTTCTTTTTCACAATAACCTTGTTGTTGTCAACAAGGACCTATTTCTTAGTTTAAATTTTATTCATAAAAGAGTGTTGGTATTCCCCGCAACAGCCAATCACAGGAAGTTATTTCTGGAAGCTCCGCCTCCTTATGGACTCAGCACATCGCTCTAGCTCATGACTCGCTGCTTCATCTCTTGTATATACAAACTATGACTTTTTTCGATTACTGTTATAATTAATAATATGAGATATAAAAGTTTTTACACAAGATGGCTAAATTCTGTCATTAAATGGACTTTGTCTGGTATACATACAAACATACACCAATTTATTACCATTCTTCCATTATTAATTTCAAATGTAATGTATACTGTCTATTTTTTCCTCTCGCCATTACTTGGTGCAATATTTGAAAGTTGTCTATTTATTTATCGATCTATCTATTATCTTGCCAGCCAGAGGCTTAGGGCCCGCGCAGGAATATCCCTGCAAAAAAAAAAAAAAGTTAAGGATTTGCGCCCAGTCAATCCTCCCCGGCCAGGGTACGAACCCATGACAAAGGGCTCGCGGAACGCCAGGCGAGTGTCTTACCACTACACCACGGAGACTGGTAACGGAGATTCTTAACATTAATAGCCCAAATTAGCACATCTTGCTTTTAAATTAGCCCAAAAAGTAGCAAGTAGCGAAATTTAAAATTTGGGAGCGTGGGGCTCTCAAAAGTAGCCCAATTCGCTATTTGTAGCCCAATCTGGCTACACTGTACAGCGACCCGCCGGTCATCGTACCCAAGGCTAAAATATTTACCTTTACTTATAAAACCTTTATCCCAGTTACCTTTTACTGTGTCTTTAAAAGTTATAGCAGTAAAACTCATGGATATTTCTTTCAAACTAATGCCAAACATGCGTAGAAGTAAGAAATTATTGATAGCGACAAATTCAGAGATCCTGTAGGATTTTTTGCTAGTTTTACCTAAAACAACTTTCGGGACTTTATTTTTATTTATTTTATTTTAACATTTATATTTATTATTCACTGTTTTTGTTTTAATACAACAAGAAACCTAACTGCAACTAGAAACCCTAACTTTTTATTACCTACATTTTCAGCTTTTCTTCAGCGAAATATCCTGGGCTCGTATCCTGGCCGGGGAGGATTTACTGGGCGCAAATCCTTAACTGTAGCCTCTGTTTAATTCAACAGTAAAATGGGTAATGGTTGTTAAACGTTTCTTCGTGGGGGTCGTATTCCAAGGACTTGCCCGAAACGCTACGCGTACTAGTGGCTGTACAAGAATGTAAAAACATCAATGCTATGTACTCTCATAAACCCAATGTACCTTCTTGTATACAAATAAATAAATATATACAATAAATCTTTAACTGTAACCTGTGTTCACCCAGCAGTGAATGAGTTGTTAAACGATTTTTACGGGTCATATTCCGGGGAAAATTATGATTAATCACCTACACGAAAGGCTATGCGTGCTAGTGCCTTTATATAAATGTAAGAACTCTTGTACTGTATATATATATACATATATCAATAAATAAAATACAGTATATAAATTAGTATAATACATGTCTCTGTGGTGTAGTGGTAAGACACTCGCCTGGCGTTCCGCGAGCGCTATGTCATGGGTTCGTATCCTGGCCGGGGAGGATTTACTGGGCGCAAATCCTTTAGTGTAGCCTCTGTTTAACGCAACAGTAAAATGTGTACTTGGATGAAAAAACGATTCTTCGCGGCAGGGGATCGTATTCCAGGGACCATAGGATTAAGGACTTGCCCGAAACGCTACGCGTACTAGTGGCTGTACAAGAATGTAACAACTCTTGTATATATCTCAAAAAAAAAAAATGTATAGAATTGCTTGGCATGGTTAGGGTGGTGGGAACACTGCGGGAGAATGAGCGCTGACGTTAGCAACACTGCAGGTGGACCCGCCAGGTTCACACTCCACAAGAGTACACAGTAGTGCACAATAGTGCACAATAATCCACAATAGTGCTTAGCTAGCTGAATGTCAGTTTGTCTGGTGTTGTTATACTTGAAAGTGCCCATGTAGGTTCACTAACAGTTTTATTTATTAGTTATCGAATGCTATATGACATTATTATAGCAGCTATATCACTGTGTATAATATCCTGTGTTGTAGAAAAGGTAATGATTCAATTGTATGATTGTGGTGCGTTATCCTCACTGTGACTACTGTATACATGCATGGAGACCACACCTTCACTAGGACATAGCAGCCCGGGATAAGGTCCAACACCCCCCAACAAAGGTGCTCCCTTTCATTTACTAAATTGTTCATCAGTTTCCTTACATGTTCAACAGGCAGGATGTCATTTAATGGGTGTGTGGAAGCACAGTATATAAACTGACCAGGAGTGTGAGGTGATATATGAGTGGGATTGGGTGGTTATAAATAGGAGCTGCCTCGTATGGGCCAATAGGCCTTCTGCAGTTGCCTTTGTTCTTATGTTCTTAAGTGAAAGGGTTAAAGTCACCACCATATCTAATGGTGGTGGTGAGAGGGAAGCTCACAGCTGTCCTCAGGAAAATTCCTCTGGGAGAAGTATTACATTGTTTCAGTGCTACAAGATTACATGGTCAACTTTAAGCTGTGACCTCATGTTCATTATTATATATTTTGAAGAAGTTAACATTGTTATAAATTTTCTATTCTGTACAATATCTTGAAAACTTAGATTGAATTTGATGAATTGTTATTCCTGTAATCTGTTGCTTACCTGGTTTTTTTTTTTTTTTTTTTTTTTGAGATATATACAAGAGTTGTTACATTCTTGTACAGCCACTAGTACGCGTAGCGTTTCGGGCAAGTCCTTAATCCTATGGTCCCTGGAATACGATCCCCTGCCGCGAAGAATCGTTTTTTCATCCAAGTACACATTTTACTGTTGCGTTAAACAGAGGCTACAGTTAAGGAATTGCGCCCAGTAAATCCTCCCCGGCCAGGATACGAACCCATGACATAGCGCTCGCGGAACGCCAGGTGAGTGTCTTACCACTACACCACGGAGACTGCTAAATTGCTGCTGTTATTGATGATAGCCTAAGTCTGAGGGTAATGTGTTAAATCTTTTTCTAGAGGTGTCATGTTCTGATGGTTTAGTCTCTACACTGTAATACTGTACTATTGTCCCAGTGGGGGCATGCAAGGAATGACTAGAGCTGGATAATATTTTCTTGTACTGTACGTGGATGCAAAGGTGTATATGATGATTCCTAGCATTTTGTTGGATTTTGCTTGCCTATTCTCATTAGCTGAGCTTTTGTCAGGTGCACTGGAAAGTAGGCAAATTTTTTTTTTGCATGTACACTATTAAACCACATGCCAGAAACTAGAACAAGAAGTTCATAACTAAAATCTATAAAGAAAATTTGTACAAAATGTTACATATGTATAGCTTTTTCATTGTCTTTGCTTTTCATTTTATTTTTCAGGTAGAGCAATGGGGTCACAGGAATCCCAGGGGGAAGACAGCATTTTAAGCTTGCTAGCAGAAGCCGCCGAGTGGACAGATGAGGAGATACTACAAAGACTCCCGAATGTTTTACCGATTGTTGAAATATCCTTTTAATACTTTGAGTGATTAATACAATTCTATTACATTTTTGTATGATTTATATATATATATATATATATATATATATATATATATATATATATATATATATATATATATATATATATATATATATATAAATAAAATCACAGTAGCTTGGCACTATATCAGCATTGTAGCTTTGGTCCTTTTTTTCAGTTCACTGGAGCTCGCCAAGAAATTTTCATTTCATTACATTCAACATTTGAGAGGGCCAGAATCTGGTCGTGGTACCCGGTGGTCATTCGTAGGGCTTCTTGGAAGCTTAGTTGCTTCCAGGTTGTAGAAATGAGCTACTGAATGTTGCCCAGAAAGAGGCATTTCCTTACATTCAGCACTGAATTTTTTGCCTTAACTAAATGCACGAATTTTTGCGAGGAACTCCATCCGCTGAAGAAGCAGTGCAAGTTGCAAGATGTGTGTGTGGTTTATTTCTACCCCATCTTCAAGTTGACAAAAAGACCTATACGCTTCTTCATGCTGCTTTATCTTGTCTCCAATCTGCTTTTAATGGATTCTTGCAAGATTGTGAAAGTGAAGCAAGGAAAAATATAGAGAGAGTCATCAAGATGCTTCAGGTTAGATGTACCACATTGTGATCTATTCTGTAGGATTTTCTGCACTTGTTCCTATTTTCTAGAAGGAGCCCCATGGTGGCTTCCTCAAACTATCTTGTTGAGATGTCTCTTAACTTCTGGGTCACATCAGACACAGGAATCCTGTTTAACCCAGGACCAGAGCTAGAATCTGCTCTTCTCACAGAGGCAGAGAAAGCAGGGATACTTATCACCCCTCACCGAGAATGCATCTAGAAAGTCAGGTAGGCTTTACCGACAGCTGCAAAGCTTGTAGAAAATGAAACATCGAAATAACCAAATGACTCCACAAATGATTCCTTCAGAGCAGCTTAGTTCTGAGGGAACGAAGGATTTCTTAAGGAATTCAACCTAGTGATGTACCTCGCACGTTCAATAGTTTCTTCTACTCCGTGTGTCTGGAATTTGATGGGTCTCACACCATTTGGGTCGCAAATGGGTCTCTCGCCATTTGCTTGGTGAGCAGGTGGCCTGAGCTATTAATGTCTCACCTGCATCTATCTTCACAGTGGCAGTATGAAGTTGTCTGGCATTCATTTCACCTCTTTCTGTCCCTTTGTCATCTTCTGTGTCTGTTCCAGTGGTTTTGTCATATTTGTCCTGATTGTTCTTTGGATCAATATTTTATGCCTAGTACTGTTACCTCTTACAGTTTGGTGTTGGCAGAATTGCTTTTGCTATAATTTGGCACTGATATTTCTTTGGTGGCAATCTGCAAGATGTCTTGAGCGTTCTTTCACTTCTGGTTAGCTTATGGTCTTACTGAGCCATATTGGTCTCTGGACAAGGTGTTGGTATTTTCTTCCTCCTCCTCGGTACATAGCTGTCCCTTCTGTCCAGGATAGTTTTCTTAAGGCGGTGTTTATGTTGGCTCTCGCCTCCGGCTGTAGAGTTGGGGTACCTCAGGCTCTCCTTTTGGGGCAAGGGTTCAGTTCCTTCGGCCCTGGTGATATCTCTAGGGCCCTCATGTGAATCTATAGCCTTGTCCTTGTCTGGCAAAAATGGTTGGTAGCACCTTCCTTAATGGTAGATGGTTGGAACAAGTTAAGCGAGAAGGTGGTGGTGGCTAAAACCGTCAGTAGTTTCAAAGCGTTATATGACAGAGTGCTGGATAGATGGGACACCACGAGCATAGGTCTCATCCTGTGACTACACTTAGGTAATTACACTCACTCACTGACACACACTCACTCACTGACACTCACTCCCTCACCCACCCACCCACTCTTAAAGATGTGAATTAATCCAGGGGGCACTATTGTATATACCACTGTATTATCAAACATTTCTAGAGCCTTTGAGGTTACTGTTCATGGGAATTTGTGGATTGTAGGTACAGTATTAATGCATTTGATTTGTGATTGCACTAAATAAAATGACTGGATATTAAATGTCAACTAATATAAGGGTCATATTACTCATTATTCACTTCAGTTACCTAACATTCGACTTGATAATAGCCCAGGACGGACCAAACCGTTGTTATTTCTCCATCTTTTGATGTGTGGTTTGGTCGTCATATATTCAGCCACGTTATTGTGACTCATTATCTGCTTACCTAAAATATCTTTATTTCTGTGTTTTTTCTCTATCATTAAGCTACAATATATTAATGAGTTCCAATGCGAAATAATAATTTTTAATTTAGGATTTTTTCTCAAAGAAATTCAATTACCAAAAGTTCATCACAATTTGAATTTTACATAATGAATTTGGCAAGTTCAGTCTTGCTTGGTATTAGATGTTAGTAATATTAAATGAACTACATGTGTGTATACATTTCTGTACCATATTTATCAGTTTCCATTTTCTTTAAACCTATGCTGCATTGTGTTTCTATTGGGATAGCTTCTGGAAACAAGTTTCCTTGTTCTAGGAAGGAAAGATTTTAGCATGGTTTATCTTAATTTTATGTTCATAGCAATGCAATCTGGTGGCAGAATGTTGTGAGCTAGCATTGCAGTTTTTGCTACAAGCAGAAAAGGTTGCTATGGAGGATATAAGCAACTTGCCCAGTGCCCTACTACATATTGTCAACCTTTCTCTAGGCCACTGTAAAGAGAGGTAAGAGAACTTTTGGCTTAAATTAATACAATAGTTTTAGAGGATTCTCCTTTTTAATAATTAAGGTTCTGACAGGTTTCTGATCCAAAGTGTGTCACATATTGATTATTGCCCATTGGACCATTGCTCAAATATTTTAAGACCCGAATTTGAAAGTGAAAATTGATTGACTAAATGTGGGGATTGTGACTGTATATGTACCATGTGATGATAAGAGGGAACCTGCCAAAAGTAGCTTTCTTAGCTGATCTCTTCAGACACTCGCTATGGTAATACTCGACTGGATCTGAAGGATAGGCCATGCATATTCACGGCAGGGCATTACAATACATCTGTGCTATAGGATCATACTGGTGCTAAGGAGCACAGGAAAATATTAAATTCAGCACAAAGCAACACCCCCATTGGGAATGCTCATAAGAACTCATAGAACTTACAATTGCTTCTTAAGGTCAAACATGACTTCCAAATAGCTCTCCTTCCCTCCCAACTCTCCTTATTCTTAGGCCACTACTGTACAGTGATGCCTCCAAGATCTGGATTATATCTTTCCAGACCCAATCTGGATTTTCCAGAAATTTGCCCTTTTAATTGTTTTAAATTTAATTGCCAATTAATGGGCAATTAATTTCCCTTTCATTAATTTCTAATTAAACAATAATTAGAAATCTGATATATTCTGAGTTCAGTTCTAGTTTTAGTTATCCATTTTGAACAATGAAAAAATCTGGAGGGCTTTTGTGCAAGGGTTAGGATGAGCTACCCTAAGCATTTTTATTCAAATTTGAGAGTTAATTTAAGTAACACGATGGGGCTCAGAATATTAAGTTCCTTTCTCATATTAAGTATCTTTGTGGTACGAGGGCACCCAAAGATAATCCTCAAGGCTTCGTTCTGCAATTTTTCAAGCCCTGCAAGCTTTCTTACAGGCACCAGAGCAAGCAGAGGTGCAGCATAATCCACTAAAGATCTGATGTATGCAAGGTACTGTACATCATTTTGACAATTCTGACATTGGCACCATAGCCTGAGTGATAACCTGCAACTGCCTTGAGAGCTCTGAACCTTTCTTTATACTGATGACAGAGTCTGATTACAATAGGACCATACAGTTGCACCTCAAAGGAAAGGTATTTGAATCTGTTTACATAGTCAAGCTGGGAGCCATCATACAGTTACATCTTGTGAACAGCTCCTCCCTGCCTGGGTGGATGAATTTAGTATATTTGTTTTCTCTGCTGAGATTACTAAACCTAGATCCTGACATGAGTCTAATATGGAGTTAAATGTGTTGTGTGTGTTAGCATACCCAGTGGTATTTATCATTATATCATCAGCATAGCTAATGGTGTGCATGTGGGTTTGCCAGGCACAGAATTTAACTGTGTTTATTAAAATATTAAATAAGTTAGGGCTGATAACATGTCCCTGTGGGGTGCCTAGTTTGAAGTCTCTTGTTACCCTCCTTATGTCCCTTGATTAATACAGATGACTTACTGTTGGATAAGTAACCTCTGATCCAACAAAGAAGCCGATCACCAATATTCATTCTTGCTAGTTCTCTCAAAATGACATGTCAGTTTGCATTATCAAAGGCAGCCTTGGATTTTTTGTTTTAAATCTAAAATCTGGGGAAAATAAAATGCACAGATTTGTTCCAGATTTTTTCAGAATCTGCTATTTTGGGGTCCAGATTTTTGGGGTGCCACTGTATTATGTATTATGATGATTTGAGTAATATTATCATCAGCTTACCGATGACGATAGATTAAAAAACTTCCTAATTTTATTTAACAGCATTTTGTTACATATTAATCAATTATGACATGCAGCTGCTATCTAATTTTCAAAAAGAATAAGGGAAAGAAGGTAAACTATTGGTATAAGAAATGATGCCTAGAAGATGATATTCCTTTGTCATTTATCTGCTTGTCCTAAAATTTTGGTGATTGGGACAATTATGTGCTCATATCAAATTTTTTTTTTTTATTACTGTTCATTATTTAGGTTCATTTGTATTTTAAAGTTAATTGAATTTTAATACTATTTTAAATAATGAAACTACTATTAAGTGGCCAGTCCTACCTACGCTGTGCCTTATTCTATCAAAACAAATGTACTGCTATTCTCACGATAATTAATGGTTATTGTGTCAGATGAATATTACATGTAAGTATACAGTCTTGCCACAAATGTGGGATGGGTATATAAAAGTATGAATTGTGTATAGCATTTTGGAAGGTAAAAGATCAATTGGAAATTTTAGGATATTGTATGTACTTGTAATTAATATACAATATTTTCTGCAGTGAAAACATCTATGGCAGCCATTTAGAACTTCTTAAGGAGAACCTCTCAACACTATTCCAACACGCTGTTAGCCTCTCTACCCAGTTTGCACATCTTTTATCAAGGGTTACTTTCAACTCCAATGATGATCTGGAGATTCTTCTGCAAGGTAATAGTTTTAAAAGTACAATGCAGTACAGTACATACTGTAATTGTAAAGTTTGATTGACCCGTATTTAAATTAAATTTCAGTACAAGTTTTTGTACAGTTATGTCTATAATAATATAGCTTAGTCTATAATAATAATAATAATAATAAATATAATAAATATATTAATAATAGACTCCTGGTTCAACCTTGATAATAAGCAGGTGTCTGGACACCTATTCCACTTAGGGACTGCTGGAATACATGACATGATTTTAACCATTGGGTTCTGATACTGCTATCAGGCATTCCTATTCATTGCTTCAGATTGTTATGATGTGATGCCTGGCAAACTTATTGCCAAGGGTCACAGGGAAGTTGAACAAAATTGTCCGTTTTCTGGCTGGTTCTTTGGGCAGGGAGACAGTGTTTGGCGCTGGCTTTTCCAAGATATGCTGGAAATTGGTCTTAGTGGTACCTTGTGTGCCCATAGTGTGTGGTGGGCAGCTGGCTCCTGTTCCGCAGAAGGTCACTGGAAGATGTTTTTGTGTATCTGTCCATTTGGGTATAAGTTTAGGGGAGCCATCGAGTTTTTGACTTGACTTTGTTTGGCTGTCCCATGTTCTCTGTGTGGGGCCTGTGCTTGCCTCTCTGAGGGATTCCTGGGGCTCCACAAACATCTGCTTACCAGTGAGTTGATTAGCCATCATGCACATTTGCTTCCACTGACAGGCGACGTTAATATAGCTGTAATGCTTTGCATTTTACTCTTCATGGGAACACTGGGGCACATCCAGCACCACTGCTGCTGTGGCCCATAAATCAACAATAATGATAATACTGTAATAATAATAAATAATAAAAATAATGTTTAGTTTTTCTGGAGTGCCCATTCCCTCCAAATATTTATAAGTGCTCAAACAACATGTTATAAATGTGGCAACATAAAAATAACTGCACTTTACATTTCAAAGTTACAGCATGATTATCAAGACCATAAGGTCTGTAAAACAGGAACCTTTAACTGGGGCATTAAATGCTGAACAAACTCTTTGAGTCTTAATGGACACATGCGACCTGTTAAACAATTGAGGAGCTAAGAAAACGATTCATCGCGGCAGGGGATCGTATTCCAGGGACCTGCCCGAAACGCTACGCGTACTAGTGGCTGTACAAGAATGTAACAACTCTTGTATATATCTCAAGAAAAAAAAAAAAAAAAAAAAAAAAAAAAATTCTATTAAGGGATTTCTTCAACAGCAGGAAGCTCGGCCAATCTCTTGTGATCCATGACAGTTCAATCATTCTGGAGCCTGATGAGAAAAGTTTAAGCATGCTAGCCCCCATCTGAATCGCCTAGAAATTAGGTGCTTGTGAGATTACTACAAGCAGATGGGGTATAATTGCCTAAATATAATTACCTAAGTGTAGTTACAAGATAAGAGCTATGCTCGTGGTGCCCTGTCTTCCCAGCACTCTCATATAACCCTTTGAAACTACCTGTACTGATGGTTTTGCCCTCCACAACGTTCAGTTTCATTATTGGGTTTTCTGGGGGGAGCCCCGTCGGCTCCCCGGAGCTATCCCAGGCTGATATGCTAATGTCAGACTTTGGCATCAGTCATGTGTATGGAGTTCTTAGGCCTACCGGGGACCACGGCCAGAACCGGGCCCCCTCAGAGAGGCAAGGGGAGCAATGGCCTATAGAAGCCCCCGTGTAGTTGGAAGCATTCTATGTCTGCCATCGACCGGAACAGGCACCCAGAAAGGTAAGCGCCCCAAAACAAACCCCTATTCTGGTTAAAATTGCTACCTAAAACCGAACTAGTGGATAGAACTCCCCAACCGAAAACAAGCAAACTAGTGTGACGTCACACACTGCCGCGCCGCTGTCTGCGCAGCTCCCCCCTCCCCGGGAGGGGGAAGGGGGAGCCCCAGACCCCCCGCGCCGGCTACCCACACCTCAGTTCTTGAGGCTGATGCTATAGGCGATGGTCGTGTGCTCTGGCTCCGGTGTCGCTACTGCACTGTGCTTTGCGTGTGGTGTTAGTTTTGTGGGTGCGAGAGCCAGGAGTTATCTTCAGTACTCGGGCTGCATGCGCCTAGGGCTGCCTTCCCTAGGTGCCCTGTAAGTACTGCCCTTGGGGCTTGGGGCCACCTTCCACAGGCTCCTCGGGGTCTGCCTCTGCTGGTCCGTTTTACCTTTCGGTTTTTCGGCCGCCTGTTGGGCTCTTGGGTGTTCTGTTCTCCCTTGTTACCGGCAGGTAAGAGGCAGTTTGCACTGGTAGGGGCGCAGGGTGCTGCTCAGCTTGTATTTCCCGACATCGCGGCCGGCTCTGTTCCTTGGGGTTCGCTGTCCTCTTGCGGGGTTTTGTTTCTCTTTTTTTTGTTTTTGCCTGGTGGGGGGTTCTGTCATTTTATTGTTTGTTTTTGCCCTTCCACTGTTCTCCTCGGTGGTGCCCCCTGCTAGGTCCCCGTGAGTGTTCCCGTCACGCTGGAGTGGCGGGAAGCTTCCACGGTGCTTCAGGTTTTCCTGGGGTTGGGGGGTGAACTTGAGTACCTGAATGAGTGCTTGTTTGCCCCTGCCCTTCCCCGCGATGTGGGCGTTATTCAGCTCCATGTGCAGGTTCCCTCCCTTTCGGCGGCGCTCGTTGCGGAGGACTTACGCGCCCGGGGCCTTTTATGTTCGGCCTTGCGGTTCTTTTCCCTCCTGGAGCTGTCTTCGGATTGGCTCATGGAGGATGTGGGGACGCTTGGGTCCGTCCCGGGGTCCGGCACCTTGTCCTCGGCTGCGCGTTCGTCGGCTGCCTTGTTGAAGCTGTTCACGCCAATTTTGCGGGATGCAGTTTCCCTGTTCTATGCTTCCCGTCTCGCGTGTCGGCAGGCGGTGCTGGGTTCCTCCGTGGAATCTGCTTGGGCTCTGGCTCTTAGGCGTTCTTCACCTTTTTGTCCTCTCCTGTTTGGGGAGTCGGCCGTGGCGCAGTTTATTCAGGCTGCGTCGGCGGCTTGTCGTCCGATGTCGGACTTGTTGGTTTTCCGGGGGTCCCGGGGTGGGTCTTCCCGGAAAGGTCGTGCCAGGGCTCGGGGTTCCTCTCGTCGTGGTAGGCCTCTGGTGTCAGGTTTGGGGTTGGCTCCTCCTGCGGACCCTCCCTCGTCTGGTCGGCGCGGTGTTCGCGCTGTGCGGGGTTCTGGGTCTCGTAAGGGTCGCCGGCCCTTTCGCGGTTTGCCCCCTTGACGGGGCGATGGGGGGGCGGCTTGCGCTGTTCGCCCGCGCCTGGTCCCACGATTCGTGGGCCTTTCGGGTCGTGTCTCGCGGCCTGCGGTGGCGTTGGGTGGCCCCTCCCCCCTTTGGGGGGTCGGGGCTGGCAGGGCAGGTTTCTTCCCCTGCGCTCTGTCGAGTCGTCTTGGAGTGGGTACGCTTGGGCGTCGTCGAAACGACGTCGTCCCTCAGATGGGTTTCCCGTCTGTTTCCGGTTCCGAAACGGGACTGCGCGGACCTGCGGTTCATTCTGGACTTGTCCCGTCTGAACCCCTGGGTTCATTGCCCCTCCTTTCGGATGACTACGCTGTCTCAGGTTCGGCTCCTCTTGGAGCCGGGAGCTTGGATGGTGTCCCTGGACCTCCGGGACGCTTATTGGCATGTCCCGATTCATCCGCGGTTCAGGGACTGGCTCGGTTTTGTTGTGGGGCGTCTGAGTTACCGCTTTCGTTGTCTCCCGTTCGGGTTGAACCTGGCACCTCGCGTGTTCACGCGCCTTACACGGGTTGTGGTGGCTCGTTTGCGTCTCCTAGGTGTTCGGGTGTTGGCCTACCTCGACGACTGGCTGGTTTGGGCTCCCAGCCAGTCAGCTTGCTTGCTAGCCAGGGATTTGGTTCTTTCCCAGCTCGCCGAGTTCGGGTTCTTGGTGAACTGGAGGAAGTCCCATCTGGTTCCCTCTCAGGTTCGGACTTGGCTGGGTCTCGTGTGGGACTCTCGAACCGCCTCCTTGTCTCTCCCTCCGGAGTCTCTCCTGCGGCTGCGGTCCCGCCTTCGTCTGTTTCTGGAGGGCCCTCGGGTCACCCGGCGGTTGCTCGAGGGGCTGTGCGGGAGCCTGAACTTCGCGATGGTGGTCTACCCGCCGGGTCGGGTTTGGCTTCGACGGCTGTTCTGGTTCCTTCGGGGTTCCCCCTTCCGCCTCTCTCGCGATCGCAGAGTTCGACCCCCGGGGGCCTTGCGTCGGTTGCTGCGTCACCGGCTTCCTCTTCGGGTTTTTCGGGGTTCAGTGCCTTGGCGCCTACCCGAGCCCTCGCTCGATGTGTACACGGATGCGTCGTCTCTCGGCTGGGGTTTTGTGACCAGTGCTCACCAGGCCGGCCAGGGGCGTTGGGATCCGTCCTTCCGTCGAGCTCACAGCACGGTGCGGGAGTTCGCGGCAGTGTGGTTTGCTCTGGGGAGGATTCGGGTGGCCCGCGGATCGACGATTCGGCTCCATTCGGACTGCTCTCCGGTGGTTCATTGCCTGAACCGCGGGGGTTCGATGCGGTCCTTGTCTCTTTGGGGTTGGTCGCTTCGGGTGACTCGTCTGCTGAGTTCTCGGGGTTTGGCTCTCCTGGCGGTTCACGTACGGGGCGTGTCCAACGTCTTGGCCGACGCCCTGTCTCGCTTCGTTCCCCTCTCCACGGAGTGGACGGTCGACGACGAGTCCTTCCGTTGGCTTTGCCAGACGTTCGGGCGCCCCGAAGTGGACCTCTTCGCGTCGGCGTGGTCGCGGCGTCTTCCCGTTTATGCGGCGCCCTTCCCCGATTGCGAGGCCGTCGGGGTCGATGCCTTTCGGCTAGACTGGTCGAGGTGGGGGTTCCTGTACCTCTTTCCCCCGGTTCGGCTGTTGCTCCAGGTCCTGACTCGCTTAGAGACTTACCGGGGGAGAGTTGTCCTTCTGGCCCCTTGGTGGCCGGCCCAGCCTTGGTTTCAGGCGCTGGTTGCTCGGTGTCCGAACCCGAGGGTTTTCCCGCGGCTCCGCCTCTTTCAGCAGATCGGGCCGGTACGTCACGTAGCTGGTTCGATCTTCTCCTCGAGTCTTCGCGTATGGTTTTTTTGACTCGAGTCTATCATCATCTCTATGGTGATCAGGTGGCCTCCTTGTTGGTGTCCCACCTGAGGGCTTCTTCTCGGCGGCAGTATGAAGTTTCCTGGCGGTCCTTCCGTTTCTTTTTGCGTCTTCGTCGTGTTAGCTCCTTGTCTGTTCGGGTGGTCTTGTCCTTCCTCTCGTGGTTGTTTCAGGACCGTCATCTTATGCCTAACACTGTCGCTTCGTATCGTGCGGCGCTGGCGGAGCCGCTTCAGCTTGCTTTCGGTATCGATGTTACGTCTGCGCCGTTTCGCAAGCTGTCTCGTGCATTGTTTCACCTCCGGCCTGCTCATGCGTCGCCTGAGCCGTCCTGGTCTTTGGACAGAGTGCTCGCTTTCCTTTCATCTCCTCGTTTCGTTGTGGCCCCTTCGGTCCAGGATTGTTTTTCCAAGGCACTTTTCTTGTTGGCTTTGGCCTCTGGGGGTCGGGTAGGGGAGCTTCATGCTCTCCTCCGGCGCAGGGGTTTCTGCTCTTTTGGTCGTGGTGATTGTTTTGTTCGTTTGCAGCCGTCTCCTTCTTTTCTGGCGAAGAATGAGACTGCTGCGTTCCGGAGGGGTCCATGGGTGGTTGATGCTTGGTTGGTCAGGCCGGGGGTGCATCATGTTTTGTGTCCGGTTGCGGCGCTTCGCCGTTATTTGCGCGCCACAGCTTCTGTGTCCGGGGACGCGCTGTGGGTTGATCCGGTTTCCCTTCTTCCCTGTTCGCGGGTTCGGGTCTCTCAGGTCGTCCGCAGGGTTATTAGGTCCAGCCAGCCTGCGGTCTATCCCCGTGCCCATGACGTTCGTAAGTTCGCGGCTCTTGCTGCCGTCTTTGGGAATATGTCTTGGTCTGATATTCGGGCGCGGGGATTTTGGCGGTCGAACAGGGTCCTGGCTGCTCGTTACCTTGTGAATGTCCCTGGGCCTCGTCGGGCCTGTGTTGCTTTGGGTCGGCGGTTGCAGCCAGTTGTCTCGGCTTCGAGTTGAGGGGTGAGCGACGACCGCCTCCCGGGTAAGTCCCTCTTTTTCTGTCTGTGGGTAGTTAGCTCCGGGGAGCCGACGGGGCTCCCCCCAGAAAACCAGCGTTGAATGTAATGAAACGCCATTTTCTGGGTGAGTCCCGGAGGCTCCCCGGCATCCCTCCCTCCCTCCGGTCGGCGGTTTTTCGCGTTTTTGACATCCAGCCTCAAGAACTGAGGTGTGGGTAGCCGGCGCGGGGGTCTGGGGCTCCCCCTTCCCCCTCCCGGGGAGGGGGGAGCTGCGCAGACAGCGGCGCGGCAGTGTGTGACGTCACACTAGTTTGCTTGTTTTCGGTTGGGGAGTTCTATCCACTAGTTCGGTTTTTGGTAGCAATTTTAACCAGAATAGGGGTTTGTTTTGGGGCGCTTACCTTTCTGGGTGCCTGTTCCGGTCGATGGCAGACATAGAATGCTTCCAACTACACGGGGGCTTCTATAGGCCATTGCTCCCCTTGCCTCTCTGAGGGGGCCCGGTTCTGGCCGTGGTCCCCGGTAGGCCTAAGAACTCCATACACATGACTGATGCCAAAGTCTGACATTAGCATATCAGCCTGGGATAGCTCCGGGGAGCCTCCGGGACTCACCCAGAAAATGGCGTTTCATTACATTCAACGCTGGGTTTTTTAACAAAGTTATGTTTATAATTATATTCCTGTTAAAAATTCCATAATGGTAAGAGGGGCATTTTCTGTATATGTTCTCTTGCTATACTTTGTCCTTTTTTTTTTTTTTTAAGTTCTTAAGTGTTAAGTTTAGGTTTGTAAGCTAGACCTCACAGTAGCTGCTTTTAACTTAGGGCACTGACACATTATTCTAGTGACATTGAATATGCCAGGCTCTCATTATTTCTATCTACTCACTTGGGTCAAGCACGTTTTTAAACCATCTTGCACCTATACAGCAAGGGAAGCACTTGAGAATCAGATCAATCCACTACAGAGGTGAACAGCCTGCTAAAAGACAAAGGAGTACAAAACACTCGGCCTTCATTCTGAGAAATGTTTAGCAAGACTCTGTCAGCTTTGTATGGGCTTCACTATGGGCTATGGGATTGTATACTTCAATACTGACTTGATTAGTGATTCCAAACGCCTCTCTTGCCCCTTCGCAGGGTAAGACAATTTGAAAAGTTTTGTCCCCATTGAGTAAGCAGACATGATAGCAGCCTTGTATATTTAGTATGTTTGTAGTACAATATATCAGTATTGTGAACTCCAGGAAGCTACTGAGGTGTTCCCCAGAAAGGGAAGTTTAGTTTCATTTAACTTTAAATTTTGTAATAGAATAAAATTAATTGAATGACTGAATATTGGCAACCTTACCTAAATCAAATTTAAAAAAATAAATATCTCAAAAGTAAATCAAGGAAAATCTAATGAAATTTAGGACTTCAGTGTGAGATCTTATCAATTTCTGAAGAAGGATATCCACTCATTGGAAGAATATTACTCACTAGTTATATTAGTATTCATTTATCACAGACCCACATTATGCAGCTCTGTTATAAACAGTGCATAAGAACTTTTAATCATTGTTAATTTTCTTAATACAGACTGAGAGAGACGAAAAAGTTGTTCAGCGAATCATCAAAATGACAAGCTTTTGTCTGAAAATAATTGTTTCTCTTTGTGAGAAATTTCGAGGATATTTGAGAGGTGTACACGTTGTTCTGGCTTCACTGTTGATGCTGTTGTTCAGGTGACTATATAAAACCTTTATTTTGAAGATTATATGCAATAAAAATAACTCTCTTAAGGGGCCGTGAAATAACAAAAATATTCGTCCAAGTATGAAATATAGTGAAAACTGTTGTCATGAAAATTTTATCCCAATATGTTAAGAAATGGATTTTATACAAATTTAAAAAAAAAAAATAAACATGTGCAACCGGTACTGATGATAACAATGACACCTCCTAGTTAGTGGAATTCAGGGATAATGCAGTGATAGAGAGATGCAAGCACTTGTCTGGTGGTGTTGATGCTTAGTTGGTTCGACTGGGGGTGCATCATGTTTTGTGTCCAGTTGCGACTCTTCGCAGTTATTTGTGTGCCACGGCCTCCGTAGCAGGGGACGCACTTTGGGTGGACCCGGTTTCCCTTCTTTCTTGTTCCAGGGCGCGGGTCTCCCAGGTCGTCTGCAGGATTATTCGGTCCAGCCAGCCTGCGGTCTATCCCCATACCCACGATGTTCATAAGTTCGCGGCTTTGGCTGCTGTTTTTTATATGTCCTGGGCTGACAGATTATTGGAACAGACATTGCTGTTCCAATTCCAGTTTTCAGGAGATACATGCCAACACAGCAGTAGTGAGCACCAGCAAAGTTGATACAAACATCTAGAACATGTGTTAAATTTAAGTACATAATGTTAGTGTTAAAATTAAAGTTGCAGTAATTTTAGTGTACAATAGTTTTCATGAACTGTATTGTAGTACTCAACATACAGCAGAACTACATAATCAATACAGTGCTAACTGCATAATACAGTACTATATGTATTTACTGTACAGTATTCATAACTCCATGAGAATTCAAGATGGACATACTCCAACAATAACATAAATGAAACTATAAAACTATAACAGTATTTTTTAGTATAGTAGTATATAATATTATGATGCATTTGGGGATTTTCAGACAGGTTGAGGAAACTCAACTTCACAGCCATAGAGGAGAGAAGAAACATATGGAATATGATAACTACGTACAAGATCTTGATGGGAATAGATAAAGTGAATAAAGGAAGCCTATATAAATTAAAAGGAGATAGGACTAGGGGACATCGGTGGAAGCTGAACATGCTATTGAGTCAGAGATATTAGGAAGATTTCGTTCCCTATACAAGTGGTAGCCAAGTGGAATGCAATGAAGGAAGAGGTTGTTGAAGCTAATTCCATTCACAACTTTAAAAAGAAATATGATGAAAATATTAATAATAAGAGGGGTAATTAGCACACCAGATATAAATGTCTAGGAGTTAGATAAAGAGTTAGATCTCACTCCTAATGTCACTTATAGGTACAAACTGGGGTAGGGTGCCTTGCCTTAGACAGTGTATAAGTTGTTGACTCCTCTTTGTATACCTTAGGTTAGGGGTATCTACCATGGATACCCTACAGCTGGGTTGTTTTAGGTGTGTTTGATATCTGTTCTTTAAGCAGAGTCCTTAGTGCCTGGGTGTCCTGTCTGACTAGTCACCTTCAGGCCCTGGTAATTTCCCTGTGGGTCTACAGCATGGCTTGTTATGGATCAACCTGTTGAGTTCACACTTGCTATGTGTGAGTTTGAAGGGTGTTCATCGGCCATGTTACAGGCTGATGATCATTCTGTCAGCATATACTATGCTGCCTGTTGAGTCAATGACATCTTCAACCTGGAATCCTGTGTGCATTGGGTCTTCATTTAATCTGAACCTGCTTCATGGAAAGAGGTTCACAATGAAGCTGCTGCTCTACTAGTTCAGTTTTTCTGTACAGTATTTGTCTTCGACAGGGTCCTGGCTCTGAAGCATCTGAGGTTTCAGAGTCAGTGCAGGGTTTAGCTTGGGGTACTTCATTTCCTATTCCCCTTAGATGTATATGCTTGAATGCTTGAGTACTTGACTGCTCCTGCACAGTTCATTTTGCAGGTGCCTTTTAGCTCCTTGGATTCATTGTATTCCAAAGGTTTCCTGTCCAGCATTTTACCTTTTGTGGCTTGTGCTGACCGTTTTGGTTTCAATGTGGGATTTGGATCTTGATTCACTGATGAACCTGGCCTCATGTGAGTTTGGGTCTTCCTCAGTCTATTGGCCATGGTATGAAGTTCTGATTTCATCCTTGCTTGCTGACAACCCTCTTTTCCTTGGAGGCTTGGCATGGGTTTTGTCAAACCCAAATGCTTGATTGGCAGGAAGTGAGTTCTGTCTTTCAGGTATTCTTGGGTAGCACTCCTTATTCTCCACTCAAGGATTGCCTGTTTGCTCTAAAGCTTCCCAGGGCTATCCAGTGAAATTTATGTAAGAAATTTACATAAAGTCTTTCGCACTCTCCTGAGTGCTTTGTCAAAGTCTGAGTATGTAATTAGGACAAGACTTAAATCTCAATGTCTAATCATCTCGACGTTAGATTAGATGTAAGTCTCGTCCTAATCACACGCTCGGACCTTGAGAAAGCACTCAGGAGAGTGCAAAAGACTGTGTGTAAATTCCTTACATAAATTTCACAAATACATAAGTGTGGATTTTTATCCTATGTTATTATGTCTGTGAGAAGACATTACCATTTCTTGTCAAATACTGATGATATTTACTTGTATTAAACAGGTTGTCTCCTCATAATGTAACACTGCAAATGTACTCGGACAATATCATTAAAGATATGGAACAGCAAGTAACGACTGCAATTGAACCACTTCTGTTGCACCTTCGAGATGATGAAGAATTTATTAAGGTTAGCAGATATTGTGTGCATACTGTAATTATAAGTGTATAATTATAATAAGTATAATTACCTAAATGTAGTTACAGGATGAGATAGATCTGTGCTCATGGTATCCTGTTTTCCCAGTACAGTACTGTCATATGATACATTGAAACTACTGATGGTGTTGACATTCTCAAATTTCTCACTTAACTCTTTCCAACCATCTACCACTCTGCAAGACAACTTAAAATATTTGTTTAGCATCTTTGCTTCATTAGCTTGAATAAGAACATAAGAAAATGAAGGTAAGTGCAGAAGGCCTATTGACCCATATAAGGCAGCTCCTATTTATATCCACTCAATCTCATTTCTACTTGTATGTCGATGTTCGCCGATGACGCAAAAGTAATGAGAAGAGTTGTGACAGGTGAGGATTGTAGGGGATCCTCCAAGAGGACTTGAACAGGTTGCAAAGATGATCAGATAAATGGTTACTAGAGTTCAACACAATCAAATTTAATGTTATGGAAATGGGATTAGGTGACAGGAGACCAAAGGGACATTACACAATGAAGAGAAACTTCCTACCTATGATGATTTGAGAAAGAGACCTGGGAGTGGATGTAACACTAAATCTAACTCCTGAGGCACATATTAATAGGATAACGACAGCAGTGTACTCTACGCTGGCAAAAGTAAGAACATCATTCAGAAGCCTAAGTAAGGAGGCATTTAGATGCCGAGTGAGACCCACTCGGCATCTACACACTTCCACTTTGAGAAGTGGAACACTTCCTACACTTCCTATGTGAGACCAGTCTTAAAGTATGCCCTCCCCTATCATCATAGAAGAAAGGAGGTAGAGGGGGATATGATAGAAACATAAAATACTTAGGGTAATTGACAGAGTGGAAATAAACCAAATGTTCACAATGAATACTAACAGAACGAGGGGACATGGGATAGAAGCTGGAAACTCAGATGAGTCACAGAGATGTTAGGAAGTTTTCTTTTAGTGTGAGAGAAGTAGAAAAATGGAATGAACTTAAGAAGCAGGTTGTGGAAGCAAACTCTATTCATAATTTTAAAACTAGATATGATAGGGGAATAGGACAGGAGTCATTGCTATAAACTGGCGACAGCTAAAAAGGTGGAATCTAAGAGTCAATGTTCGATCTTGCAAGCACAAATAGGTGAGTACACACACATTGAGACAGTGGTGGAGGCCAAAACTGTCAGTAATTTCAAAGTGTTTTGACAGAGTACTGTACTGGGAAGACGAGACACCACGAACGTAGCTCTCGTCCTGTAACTACACTTAGGTAATGACTTAACATATGCAAAATTTGTGCACCATTTTCAAAACATTTATTTTATGTAGCCCTTTAAAGGTTTTAATTCTTGTTTTTCTTGTGCTCATAGGTAGTGCTAGAGATAGAGCAACATGACGTGGAGACTGTAGCAGAGGAATGGGGAAGTTACCTACTTTTAATAGTAGCATTGTGTGTGCCACCTAGCACTGTAATTTATTTGCACCTAAACAAAATTATTGCAAAGATCTTTTTCATTGTGGAAAAAAGTAAGTTGGAGTTCTAAGAATATTTATGACCTTAAACCAATTGGTCACTTCACAAAGCAATGTCTTTCTCTCCCAGGGACACAGCAGACTCCAGCCAGAAGTCAGTGTGACCTTTTCAACCTAAACACAATGAACATCTTTTCTGATTGCCCCCACTAAACTATACACAAGGGAAGTGAGATGGTTTACCACTATACACACGGGAAGTGAGATGGTTTACCACTATACACACGGGAAGTGAGATGGTTTACCACTATACACAAGGGAAGTGAGATGGTTTACCACTATACACAAGGGAAGTGAGATGGTTTACCCGTTGGGCAGTGTGTGTGGTTCAGACAGACATTCTAGTATCTTTGGGGTAGCCCCTTTCGCTGCACTTGCTATCGCTGGGTCCTTCCTCCATTGTTCCTTTGCTGATTGCTGCATCCTTGACTTCCTTTTGGGGGTTTTCGGTGTTCAGTGTCATGGCGCCTTCCTCCTCCCTTGCACAATGTCTTCTTTATGGCTGTTGGTTGGGGCTTTGTGGTCTAGTCTGGCCAAGGTCGTTGGCGCCCATACTTGTGTCGGTCTCCCAGCATGGTGTGGGAGTTTGCTGCTGTGTGGCAGGCATTGTAGTGTGTTTGAATTCCTCCAGGCTTGGTGATTCAGCTTCATTTAGACTGTTTCCCCTGTGGTTCATTGTCTCAACTGTGGTCTCTTTGGGGGGTCTCTTTGGTCCATGTCTCCTTGTGGCTGGTCGCTTCGGGTAGCTCTTCTGCCGAGTTCTGATGGGTTTGTCTCTATGCACAGTTCACGTTCAAGGTGTGTCCAACATCCTGTCCAACGTTGCTTCTTTCTCGCTTCATTCCTTTTCCATGGAGTGAACTGTTGTTGCTGATTCATTCCTTTGGCTATGGTTGACCTCTTCGCGTCGGCATGGTCTCGGCGGCTGCCTTTTTATGTTGCGCCATTTCCTGACTGCGAGTTCACTCTCTGTGAAAGCCTTTTGGCTCGATTGGTCGAGGTGGGGTGCATTTACCTCTTTCCCCCAGTTCTGCTGTTGCTCCTGATTCTATCACTACTGGAGTCTTACATGGGAAGACTGATTCTTCTGGCTCCTTAGTTTCATGAACTGTTTGGTGTCTGAACCTGGGCATCTTCCCGCAGCTCAGCCTTTATCAGTGTTTGGTGAGTGATGTACCTCACTGATTCGGCCTTCTCTTTCACGTTATGTGTCTGGATTTTTTACGCGTATTTCTCGCGATTTGTATGGTGAACTAGTGGCAGGTTTGGTGGTGTCCCAACTGCAGTCTTCCTTTTAGCGACAGTATGAGGTTTTTTGGTGATCTTTCCTCTGTTTTTTCTCCCTTCGTCATTTTCTTTCCGTTTTTGACCAAGTTGTTTTGTCCTTTCTTAGCTTTTCCTCGATCGGCATCCCATACCAAATACTGTCACTTCTTATTGTGTGGCTTCTGCTCGCGTTCGGGTTGACATTTCTTTGGCCCTGTTCTGCAAAATTTCTCATGCCTTGTATCACCTCCAGCCTGCTCATGCTCTACCTGAGCCTGCCTGGTCTTTGGACCGGGTTCTCTCTTCTGCTCGTCTTCTGGTGGCTCTTTTGGTCTGCATTTCCTTTTGGAAGACTTTGGTTTCCTTGGCCTTCAGTTGTCAGGTAGCTGTGCTTCATGCTTTGCTCCATCAGTTTTTTTTGTTCATTTGGTCTTGATCATTTTGTTCAGTTGCAGCCTGCACCTTCTTCAAGTGAAGAATGAGATGGCGGGCTTCCGAAGGCTTGGTTTGTATGGCCCGGGGTGCATCATGTGCTGTGTCTGGTGGCAGTTTTGCGCCACTACCTGCATGCTACTGGTTCTATTTCGGTGGATTCATTGTGGGATGATCCGGTTTCTCTGGTTACCTGTTTCAGGGATCGTGTGTGTCTGGTTGTTCACAGTGTTATCATGGCTAGCTAGCCTGTGGTCTATCCTCGTGCTTATGATGTTTGGAAGTATGCCGCTTTCTCTGTGGTTTTTGATAACATGTTTTGGGCGAATATCTGAGCACGGGCTTTGTAGGTAAACAGGGTCTTGGCTACCTGGTTTCTTGCTAACGTTCCTGGTCCTTTGCGACCTTATGTAATTCTGGGGCATCTGTTGCGGCTGTCAGTCTTGCCTCTGACTTGCTACCTGTGGTGCTTCTGCCTCCCTGGTACATTCCCCTATCTTTGTCCTTCCCTTCTGGTAATTAGCTTCAGGGAGCCAACGGGGCTCTCCACAGAAAGCCAGCCAGTTTCTGGGTGAGGGTCCCTGACACCCTCCCTCCAGTTGGCAGTTTTACATAATTCTAGAAGAGTGTAGTGTCATCCCGGCTGACCCGGGCCGGCTCCCTCCTCCCCCAATGAGGGGGGTAGATGGAGCTAACTAGTGGGGTGCTGGATTGTCAAAGTTTTGGTTGTTTACTTTGGTTTATGGTTGTGGGGGAAGTTCTTTTGCTATTTTGAGGACTCGGATCTCGTTTTAAACAATACAATGGTTTGTTTTGATATGCCTACCTTTCTGGGGTGCCTTCCCTGGATGATGGCAGAGATGATAGACTATAAATGTAAAATATTCATGGGCCATCGCTCCCTGCACCTTTCTGAGGGGGCCAGGTTTTGGCTCGTGGTTCCAGTAGGTAAAAAGAACTCTGCAACTGATGACACTCAATTAATATGGCACTTAATCAGTATGATAGCTTCAGGGAGCCTCCGGGGGCTCGCCCAGAAACTGGCGTTTCATTACATTCAACGCTGGTTTTTTGGGGGTAATAAAAGTTCCTCTTCATTCTCATTTAGTATACTACAGAATGGCATCTTCTTCTCTTGAGGTTATCTTGAAATGATTTTGGGGCTTTTTAGTGTCCCCGCGGCCCGGTCGTCGACCAGGCCTCCACCCCCAGGAAGCAGCCCGTGACAGCTGACTAACACCCAGGTACCTATTTTACTGATAGGTAACAGGGGCATAGGGTGAAAGAAACTCTGCCCATTGTTTCTCGCCGGCGCCCGGGATCGAACCCGGGACCATAGGATCACAAGTTCTGTGTGCTGTCCGCTCGGCCGACCGGCTCCCAATCGTATGGCATGGTTTAGCGTATTTGACATACTGCACGTAGATTGACTAATAAATCCCATCTTGATTTATTAATAATGTAGTGTACTATGTAATGTACTAGTTCTATTTCATTTTTCATCTGCAAAATTTTTTAGCACATGTATCTAGATACACTGCTTCAGCATTCTTCTTAATGTTTAAAAAAAAATACTGTAAAATAATTGGACACTAATTAATGACTTTCCACACAGGTCATTCAAGCTTGTCTTTGCCGTGTATGATGAATGGTGTGATGTATGGGGGCCGACTTCAAAGCAAAGTTACTTTCTATGAACATTTGCTGACTCGCACGTGTGCTTTAGTGGCCACACTAGAGGCTCATCATTTTGAAGTCTTGGAGCAAATTCTTGTGCAGTGGCTGTTGAGTGGACAACCATGGCCAGCACTTTTGGCTATGGATATTTGGTGCTTTGTAGCAAGGTAAAATATTATATTTTTCCACTCCCATACTTAAGAATGTTTTCTTTGTATTCTGTATCAAATGCAACCCTAATTGGGTATACCTACTAGGAATACCTTATGATTTTGCCATTCATATTTTGTATTTCTTCTTCCAATAGGTTCCATTCAATATTGTGAGACTGCCATAATGAAAACTTAAAATAGTAAAGTTTTAGCCTAAATTCATATGACTGCTGTTGAAACTGAGCAGTGTTGCCCTCAGCAACTATTATTTTATGTAAGGTATCCTGAGAAAGCCTCACTGTATTAACTTCAAACTTACAACAATTATGTTTTGGGTAATGTAGCTCAATAAAATAAATATTGGTTGTAAACAAGAAATATTTGGTTAAGAATGCCAAGGATGAGTACAGAGTTGCACAAGTTCATTGAAGAATGAAAGGAACTGCTTGATGGGAAGGGGCGGTGGCAAGAGCGGTTCTATATATTGTTGCGTGGCTTAGCTCCCCCAGTCCTGGGTGCCACTGATCACCCTGGGGAGCACCTCAGTCCACTATATGGGGGGTAGGGGGTTCCTTCCCAAACCCAGTCTTGCACTAGTAGCAAGTGCGGGACTTGCTCCCTGTAGCCTCCTTGCAGGTGTGGCCACAGACACGGGAACTCGGGACCACTCCGACCGAGCCGCCCAACATAAAAAATCCAAGGTTGCCAACTAGGTCTGCTCAGCTTGGCAGCCCAGTAATACTAAGTAACACTAATCTTAGTGGTGGGTACCCACTTTGGTACCTTCACAATAATGGACATTACACATAACACTTTCAAAATAACGCAATCAAAGAGAATGGAGTGGAGAAGGTAAACACACTAGTAAAATCAAGGAGTTTACTTGCTAATAGTCTACATTGGCCATAGGTGAAAATATCCCTAAAGTCCGTTGAGATGGCAGCACTCCTGGAATTAACAAGGGAAGGGTATTTCCCTTCCAAACACTAACACCTCTCCTCCTTTCCCTTTCCTCACTGTCTTCTATATGCCAACAAGAGTCCTCAATATAGGTAGAGTACCTATGAGTATTATTCTGTATAAAATGTATTTTTAAGTTAAGTGGCCCTTTCGGTTCAGGACTGCTTTTCTAAGGCTCCTTTCTTGTTGGTATTGGCCTCTGGGGGTCAGGTCAGGGTGCTTCATGCTCTCCTCCGGCGCAGGGGGGGGTTTATGCTTTTTCGGTCCTGGTGATCGTTTTGTTGGTTGGTTTGCCTGGGGGTGCATCATATTTTATGTCAGTAGTGGCTCTTTGCCGTTACTTGCATGACACAGTCTCCATGGCAGGGAATGCGCTTTGGGTTAACGCAATTTCCTTTCTTCCCTGTTTTAGGGTGTGGGTCTTCCAGGTCATCTGCAGGTTTCTTCGGTCCAGCCAGCCTGTGGTCTAACCCCATGCCCACGACGTTTGTGGCTTTGGCTGCTGTTTTTTGGTAATATGTCCTGGGCTGACATCTGGGAATGGGGTTTTTGGAGGTCGAACAGTCCTGGCTGCACAGTTCCTCGTTAATGTTCCTGGCCCCTCTCGGGCGTGTGTTGCCTTGGGTCGCAGGTTGCAGCCAGTTGTCTTGAATTCGAGTTGAGGAGCGAGTGGCGTTTGCCTCCAGGTTAAGTCCCTCTTTTCCTTTACTTTTGGTTAGGTAGCTGTGGGGAGCCAAAGGGGCTCTCCACAGAAAACCAGTGTTAAATGTAATGAACTGCCATTTTCTGGGAGACCCGAAAATTTCCTGGCATCCCTCCCTCCCTCCCTCCCTCTGGTTGGCGTTTTTTATATCCTGCCTCTGAACTGGAGTTGGGTGGCCGGCACGGGAGGTCTGAGACCTCCATACCCTCTCCTGAGGAGGGAGGAGTTGCGTAGACAGCAGCGGGGTGGCTGTAATGACGTCATGCTTGTTTGCTTGCTTTCTGATTGGGGAGTTCTGCTTGCTCGTTCGGAATTCAGTTTACAATTTTTCACCAGCTGTGGTTTGTTTTGGGACTCCTATCTCCCTGGGTGTCTGACCTGGTAGATGGCAGATATAGACCGCTTCCAACTACATGGGGGTGTCTATGGGCCATTGCTCTTCGTGCCTCTCTGGGGGGGGGGGCAGGTTCTGGCACTGGTCCCCAATAGGCTTAGAACTACATCGATTGACTGTTGCCTCAGTCTAATTTACATATCATCCTGGTATAGCTCAATTAGCTCAGGGGGACCCTCTGGGTCTCTCCCAGAAAATGGTGTTTCATTACATTCAACGCAGATTTTTATAAAGCTATACTTTCAGATTTGGAAGCAGTGAGTTGTGCAAACATCACTGTAGTGTGTTGATGGATGTGTTGCTCAGTACCCCTCCTTCCTCACACCAGTGTCTTATGACTGCCTCTCTTTTGTCAAGGCTCATCCCTAAGCTTGCTCCACATCATAAACAAGAGATCTTATCAAGTCTCAGGGATACAGGTAAGCAGGTTGCAGAATTGAATGTGTCTTAGGATACATTTGTCTTCATGTGTTCCTGGGCAGAGCTTCTTTTTCTCTGCTCTTGACAGGGTGCATTTGCACTTAAGTGGCAGACTTGTATGTCTGGGACCTTGTGGAGGGGCTTTCTGAGTGACACCATGCAGATGTGGCATCGCTGACATCCACTCCAGGGGAAGAGGCCTTGCGTCTTGCAGTTCTGGCCTTGGCAGTCTTGTCCAAGATGCATGGAAGAGGCTAACTAACTCTCCACTAGGAATCACATATGAACACCCCAAACTAAAGACTGTTTGCTACTACCATACTTATCTACTAAGCATGAGTTTTTGCACTAAAGAGAGGGGAAGAACCTTCACCACAGGACCCCCAGGTGTCTACTGGCACGAAGCCTGTACTCTCTATCCCAGGTGGCCTACCCCCCCCCCCTCCATACCAACACTTCTGACCGTAGGCCTATTAACTCCTCTAACCATATCTCTCAGCCCACAATTATTTACCTAGAGACTACTAAGTAATACAATGTGGTAATTTACTGGCTCAATTAATTAAGTAGGGAATGTACTCTAACTGAATTACATAGTAATTAAACAGATGTCTACACAACCACTAGGTTGGTGTACCTGAGCAAGCTAGCCTACAGTTCAGAGTTAATTACAAATTCTCATTATAATACTCCTATGCAAAACTAAGGAATGAACATACAATCACAAATGATGAGTACATGGGTAAACCACCACATAAGGTAGGCTCTTCACTCAATGCTGACATTACACCTCATAATTCTGAAAATGAATATGACGGTACTTGGCAACTGAATACCACATGGCGACAGCTGACTTGACTAAGCCAGGCCTCCCAACATAACAGTGGAACTTCACACTATGAATAATCATTACACAGGAGGTTAACATAATTGTACTTATAAGCATTCATGCACACACTTAAATGTATGACTCCAGATATCTATAAACTCTCTGGGACAATGAAACATCAAGCAAAACTCTCAAGTATCGTTCCCCCCCCCCCCCACCCACCCCCCACACACACACATACACGATACGGTTGATAAGCCCTTGGCACCACATCGAGTCATAACCTCGGGCGAAGACTCATAAAGGCCTCTAGTACTCCACAACTAAAATGGCATGCCTGTGCACCCGCACATATCTTCATACAATACCAAGAATACATACCATTACATTCAGTTACACCTCACTCATACTCTCATCACTCAACACAATAACCTGCTGTCAATACATGGATGAATTCTAATATCTTTATTAAAGCTTCTTATTCCCATGCACATGGATAGGTTCATAACAGTCCGGTGGCAGCTCTTTGCTGCTACTGGCATGCCACTGGTTCTATCTCGGTGGACACCTTATTGGTTGATCCTGTTTCCTTGGTCATCTGTTGCAAGGCTCTCATTTTTTAGCTCATCTGCAATATCATTAAGTGTAGCCAGCCTGTGGTCTACCTTTGGGTCCATGATGTTTGCAAATACTGTACATGGCATTAGCTGCAGTCTTCTCCAATATGTCCTTGGCTGATGTTTGGACTCTGTGGTTTGGCATTCTAACAGGGTTCTCGCAGCCTGGTATTTGATTAATGTTCCTGGTCCCAATTAGTCATATGTTGCTTTGGACCATATTTCTTGGCCCGGGTTAGTTTCTTTGACTTAATGTCTGCCACCTCTCCTCCTTCCTGGTAAGTCCCATTTGTGCTCTCTGTAGTAAGTTAGCTTCAAGGTGCCACAGTGGAGCTCTTTCCAGAAACCCAGCATTGAATGTAATGAAGCACATCATTTTGGAGGAGCCCTGGTTCCTGATTCCTCCTCCCTTCTGGTTCATTGGTGTTGTTGACCTTGTGTTGTTCATTAGGTCCAGAACTGAAAGTGGATATTAACCAAGGGCTGGGGACAGGCTGCCTAGTGGCGGCAACAGGTACTAACAACCTTCAAGATAGTTTAAGTCTATCCCGTGTTCTGTGTGAAGCGTTTGTGGAGGAGTTTGGCAGTCTTGAGGCTTCATTTCCTGTGAACCCTTCAGTCATCTGCAAAGTTTTGCTGACTTTCTGGAGGCTTTTTTATTTTTTTTGGTTGGGTGGCAGATTGTCATCCACTCTCGGCACCTCTGCGAGGGGAGGGCCAGGTTCTGGTTCTGGTCCCCAGTAGGGCAAACAGAACTTCTACTAGTGATGTGACCTTAAAGTATGGGGCTATCTCAGTTTGATAGCTTCACGGAGTCATTGGGGTTTGTCTAGAAAGAGGAATTTCATTTCATTCAATGCTGGGTTAATGAACTCCAGTGGACTCCAGTTCACCTGTTGCCTAAAAGTGGAAGTGGTACTAGTGACATGTGAGCTAGTCAGCCAGAAATTGATGAAGACACTCGCTAATAAGCTAACAAACACGAAAGGTTGGCAGCAAAGAGCCCGAGGAATGCATCGTGGACACCCTAAACAATAAGGCAGCGTATGGAATCCCAACAGAAACCAAGGAGTGGGCACAGGACAAGGAGTTCAAAGTCTCCTTGTCGGTTGGTTGTCTTGTCCTTTCTGTTTTGGCTTTTTCAGGACCGCCATATGATGCCTAATTCTATTGCCTCGTATCGTGCAGCACTGGCAGAACTTTCAAATCCAGGGATCCCATCACAATGGCAACATACTGATGTGAACAATATGGAAGAAAATGCAGAATAGAACCAGTGAAGAGCAGGGGTGCCATAGGCACAATCAGAGAACACTGTATAAACATCAGAGATCCACGGTTGTTCAACATTCTCCCAGCAACTATAAGAAATATTGCCGGGACAACCGTGAACATCTTCAAGAGAAAACTAGATAGTTTTCTCCAAGGAGTGCCAAACCAACCGGACTGTGGTGGGTATGTGGGCCTGCGCGCTGCTCCAAGCATCAGTCTGGTGGACCAAACTCTCACGAGTCATGCCTGGCCTCAGGCCAGGCTTAGGGAGTAGAAGAACTCCCAGAACCCCATCAAGCAGGTATTAAGCAGATATCCTTCTTTTCTGGCGAAAAATGAGACGGCTGCTTTCTGGAGGAGTCCTTGGGTCATTGATGCTTGGTTGATCAGGCCGGGGGTGCATCATATGTTGTGTCCAGTTGCGGCTCTTCGCCGCTATCTGCACACTTCGGCTTCGGTTGCCAGGGATATGCTTTGGGTTGATTGGGTTTCTCTCATTCCCTGTTCCAGAGCTAGGGTCTCCCAGGTCATCCTCAGGGTTATAACGTTTAGCCAGCCTGCGATCTGTCCTCGTGCCCATGACATTAGGAAGTTTGCTGCTTTGGCTGCCATGTTTGGCAACATGTCCTGGGCTGATATTTGGGCACGGGGTTTTTGGAACTCGAACAGGGTCTTGGCTGCCCGTTATTTGGTTAATGTTCCTGCTCCTGGGTATTCCTGTGTTGCTTTGGGTCGCAGGTTGCAGCCAGTTGCGTCGACTTCGCGTTGGGGGAGTGTGTGGCGGCCACCTCCCTGGTAAGTGCCTCTTTTTCTTATTTTTGGTTATGTAGCTCCAGGGAGCCGAAGGGGCTCCCCACAGAAAACCAGCATTGAATTTAATGAAACACCACTTTCTGGGTGAGCCCTGCAGGCTCCCTGACACACCTCCGTCTCTCCGGTCGGCAGTTTTCGTGTTCTTTGATGCTTAGCTTCCGAACTGGAGTGCTAGGTAGCCAGCACTGGGAGGTCCGGGGCTCCCCCCCCCCCTTCCCTTTTCAGGGAGGGGAGAGCTGTACAGACGAGCGATGCAGCAATAGAGTGTGATGTTTGCTTGTTTCCTTGGGATTGGAAGGAGTTCTGCCCCTCTCTTCGGTTTTTAGTTGTACTTTTCTTACCATGTGGGATTTTTGTTATGCCTACCTTTCTTGGTGCCTAGCCCCAGTCAATAGCAGATAAGGAAAACTCCCAACCACTGGGATTTTCCAGAGTCATTCTTCCCTGTGCCTCTCTGAGGGGGCCTGATTCTGGTTCGTGGTTGCTGGTAGGCTGAACTCCATAGACTAATGCCCCGGTCTAATGTGTCACTTATTAGTCTGATAAGCTCCAGGGAACCTCCGAGGCTCACCCAGAAGATGGCATTTCATTACATTCAACTTTTTTTTTTTTTTTTCTGTAGTGAACATAATTGTAAATAATGCTAATAAATTTTATTACCTTTAATCAGGTTATATTATTAGTCTCGTGGAATTTTTTTGTTCTTATCTGCTGAGTATGCTGGTCTCTGCTGGTCTTACAAATCTTTTCAGGAATTATTTTTCCAGATGGGTTCACCTTGTTCCAGGCTGGGATAAAGGATTGTAATTATGAGCAAGATCTGGTAAATGATACCATTATAACATTCACAAAGAATGTGGATTTAATTCTAGCAAGAACAGCCAACGAGCAAACTGTAATTAATCTAGTAAGTACTCTACTGAACACTAATTTTCATACTGTTACTTTCTCTACTTTCAAGATAATATATTTAGCAAGAGGATAGTTTTTGGTTGTGCAGCTTCATATTTTTGCCTAGAAACATTCTATACAAGTTTTCTCACTGTAAGTTAGTAGACATTACAGCAAGTACTGTTAAGTGAAACTCCACCTCTTTATTATTACAAATTCAGAGACTTTTTTCTATACTTAAAACATTTACTGAAGGTTTTGGGTTAAATGATGAGCAGTCAAGCCATCAATTCTAATTCATTAATTACTCTTCATGTAATTTTTAATTACAATTAAATTGTAATTCACCAATCCATCCACCTACCTATCGACCCATCCATCCACCTGCAACCCAGCCTGCCAGTCAGCTAGCCATTAATCCATCCATCTACCCACCCACCTGCTAACCCTGCCTGCCCAAAATCAGCCACCTCTATGCCTCACCACCCACCCTGCCAGCCATCAACAATGTCTGCCTGCCCATCCACCCACCAGTCAGCCAGCAATCCATCTACGACACCCGCCTGCCAGTCAGCAACCAATCCATCCACCCACCCTGCCCGCCCACTAGTCAGCTGGTCCACCTGCCCGCCCACTAGCCAGCCAGTCCACTTTAAGGGGCACACCAGGCCCTTTAGGGGCCTGACAGCTGAGTGGACAGCGCTTTGGATTCATAGTCCTGAGGTTCCTGGTTCGATCCCCGGTGGAGGCAGAAATAAATGGGCAGCATTTCTTTCTTTAAACTTTCACAGTTTCACTTTCTCACATGCCTGGTCTCATGATTCCTGTTTATTTATGTTCTCTGCTGTTCTGCAGGGTCATTGTTATTTGGTTAGATTTGGGAAGGGTGAGGGGTTGAGCCAATGCTCTTACTGTGGTGGGGGCCCATTACTTCCCCTGTCCCCAGGTATGCTTAGTTCTGCAAGTGAATGCTTGGCTGGTGTCCCTGGATCTTCAGAATGGGTATTAGAACATCCCCATCCATCTGAGATTCAAGGACTGACAAGGGTTTCATGTGGGTCATCTCGGTTACTGTTTCTAGGTTCTTCCCTTCAATTTGTTCCTGGTGACCAGAATGTGGGTTCTCTCTGTGTTTCATCTTTTTGGGAGCTGTAGTTTGGCCAACATCGGTGACTGACTGTTGGGCTTACAGGTGATCTGCTTGTCAGCAGGGATATTCAAGGGAGAGCTGGACATTGCCAACTGAAGCAATAGAATGGCTTGCTCAGAAACTAATTTTTCATTTACATTCAAAATCTTTATTTTTGTTTTGTTTACAGCTGGATGAGTTGGAACATATGTCTTCATTGCTACTAGTCTTCATAAAAGCAAATAATGCAAATACTCCTGTCATGGCAAGCTTCACCAGTGCTCTCACTCAGCTGTGGGCCAGGTTTGAATACAAACTTATAACATTCTAAAGGATGATACAAATAGTGACAAATGTGTAGTAACTTTAAATTTGTTCTTATTTATTTTTTGTATAATTTGTGCATGTTGTAATTAGTACAGTATTCAAATTATTCTACAGAATGCCAGAAGATCATGTTGGGTGCTCAATAGTGGACCTAATATTCTGTCATCTTGTGAAAGCTACTACCTCAGTCCTAAGCACCTTGTCCAAAAATCAGTTAATTCAGGTAAACTTGGATTATCTCTTTAAAGATTTGTAATAAATTGTGTAGTGTACATCTATCAAATGAGTTAATTTATAATAAATTTGTGTATATTTACAATGCTGTGAGCCAGGGATTTGTAAATGTTTTGAGTGGATACCCTGTGTACTGTATTAAGTTTATCTAGTTTTGTTTACAAGGGCTTTTAATAACTAATAACAGTTCTATACATCTCTAGAGGAGCCCTTTGGTGGCTCCCTGAAGTTGTTACCGAGATAGCTTTCTGCTACTAAGTTACATCAGTCATAGGTTTCCTGTTGGCTTACAAGGAACCAGAGTCAGAAACTGGCCTCTTCAAAGAGGCACAGAGAGGGGATTGTTGCAATCACCTTCACTGGGAAAGCATCCAGAAGTTAATGACAGTACAATCAATTGCATGGTTCATGAAAATGAAGAATTGAAACAGCCAATACATGCTGCAAATGACTTGCTTAAAACAAAGTGGTTCACTTGAATTTTGGTCTGAAAACCCCTAGTGCTCAGTACCATCAACAGGTGGGGGTCCCAGAGCTCCCAAGTTCAAGGCTGACAACTGTTCAGTCCTGTTGCTAATGTCAAATGTTCCATGTCAAACCTTCCCAAGTTGCCTCATCATGGCAAGTCCTAATTTTCTCCAAGATAATTGCTGGCCATCCTTTAAACACTGTCCTATGGAGGCCATTTTGCTAGTGTATTGTTTATTGTTTTTATTATTTGCTTCTGGAGCATTTTCAAGCCACACTCCCTGCATAGACTTGGCATAATCTTGCTTTCGAGTTGCACATGTTTGTAGGCGATGAGGCACAATAACATGGCTGAAGTATGTTGACCAATCCACACACTAGAAAATGAAGGGACGACGACGTTTTGGTCCATCCTGGACCATTCTCAAGTCGATTGTGAATGGTCCAGGACGGACCGAAACATTGTCGTCCCTTCACCTTCTAGTGTGTGTGGTCTGGTCAACAAAACATCTAAATTACTGGGACACTCTTAAACTTCTTAAAATGTACTATCTGGAAAGGAGACAAGAAAGGTATCAAATAATACATACATAGAAGATATTGGAAGGCCAGGTCCCAAATTTCCACAGTAGAATAACAACATACAGGAGGAAAAAATATGGAAGGAAGTGCAGAATAGAACTAGTGAGGAGTAGAGGTACCATAAGCACACTCAGAAAACGCTGTCTGAACATCAGGGGTCCATGGCTGTTCAATACCCTCCCAGCAAGCATTATAAATATTGTCGGAACAATGGTGGATGTACCTTGACCAGAGACAAACATGCTATAGAACAGGGTGTATGCCAAAGCAGAACTGGAAGTGTGCAGATAGCAACAAATTTCTGCATCCAGACACAATAGATGATACACCCCAGATAGACAAACCAAGCATCAATTAACAAGAAACCACCCCAGAAGCATACTGTTTCATTCTTCACTCGAAAAGGAGTTGGCGGTTATAGGTACCTGGAGAGGGTTTCGGGAGTTCTTCTACTCCCCGAGCCCAGCCTGAGAAGTAGCTCACCTTGTGATAACTTGGTTCAACTGGCTGTTGCTTGGAGCACCCCGCAGGCCCACATATCCACTACAACCCTGTTGGTCCGGTACTTCTTACAAGAACTTGTCTAAGTGCATCTAGAAGAACTCCCAAAACACACTCCAGGTATGCTCCAGATATCTATAGCCATCTCCCTTTCTAGAGAGTAATGAAACAGTGTGCTTCCAGAGTGGTCTCTTGGTGACTGATGCTTGGTTTGTCCATCTGGTGTGTATCATCTGTGGTGTCTGGTAGTAGCAATTTGCTGCTATCGGCACACTTCCAGTTCTGCTTTTGCATACACTGTTCTCAGGCATGTTTGTCCCTGGTCAACCACAGTGTCATTAAAGCTAGACAGCCTGCAGTCTGCCCTATGACCCACGATGTTTATAAGTTCGAGACTTTGGTCGCCATTTTCACTAATACTGTTTGAGCTCAGTTATCCGAAGCCTGCTAGACTAAATATTTGGGTTATACTGACAAAATCAGATTTGGATAATTTTCTGCCAAACTTCACCATATCTGAACAGAAATCCAGATAACCAGAGATATGGCCGGATAATGCAGACTTGCACAGAGTTCAAGTCAAATTTTGGTAATTTTCTGGTAAAACTTTGCCATATCTGAACAGAAAATTGGATAACTGGAGATTAGGTTACACAAATCTTCAAGAACTGCACATTTCATGATCTATAGTATTTTACAAGAGGACAAATGACAATATAAGCTGAAGTTTCTCTTCTTAAATTATTTTTTTGATTGATTGTGTGGAAACAAGAATCGTTTCCACATTGAATTGGATGTGGAACAATTGAATTGGAACAACCACCAATGAAGAATTGGTGGTTGTGGTATAAACAATTGCAAATATGTGTGACTGAAGTAACTTAGTAATGGAAAGCTATCTTGGCAACATAGCTTCACAGAACCACTAGGGTTTACCCAAAAATGGAAATTTCACTACATTCAATGCTGGTTTTTGTTTTACTCATGATTTGTTGCAGACATGCAGCATATTTGCAAATATAGGAAAATATAGATTACTTCAATCTAAATGGAGCTCGGATTCTTTTTACTATTATTACCTTCTGTATGATGCTTATCATTGATTTGTGAGTGTTCATGTTTCAGGTGCTGTCATTGTTGAATGAGAGCTGTACCAAGGAGTCAGCAGTGATGGGTGTTGTTGTTTGTGACTTAGTGGCTGCCCTTGGTCAGTGTCATCTCACTGATTCTACTCACTTAAACAGTATTCTCCATCTTATTGCAGGTAATGTACTTTTATTTTTTCCATTAGGATATGATGGTAAGCGTAGGCAATAGGCAGGCAGTATAGCACTCAGATTTTCTACATACTGTACATAGGTTTCATTTTCCAGTGAAAAGTGTCCGACATATCTCTGAAGTTACCAAGGTGTGCTAGAGCGCTGATCTAATAACAATAGTGGTGTGTACTGGTATATGTGGCATAGAGACATCCCTTTTTTTAAATTTTGGTACTATGAGTGTGTTTCTGAACCAGTGCCACAGCCAAAACTTATCAACTATTGATTTAAAATACATTGAATAAAATATATTACCAAACAGCACAACAGCCAGCAGCTAGCTTAGTGACTGAAGTAATAGATAAGACTAATTATCAGTTGGGAAAAAGTTGCAAAATGCCTGATACTTGTGAGCAAGTATTAAAAGAGGAATCTAGCTGTGACTGTGATGCCACATGAGTGGGATAATGTGAACACCAGACATTAACGACCAAGAGGTACCATATACAGTACCTAAATAATTCTTGAACATATAAAATTAAGCTCATTTGTGCTTGTGTATACATATTTACAAGTATTCTAATAATGCAACATTTGCACAAGTTTGCAGAGTGATATCCACTCCACCCCCAGTTGGGGGGAGACTCACTATGCTCACTCTCTTGTCATTGGCTAATTTTCAGGTTTGGGGGTTTTGGGGTTCTGCTAGAGTCCTGGGTCTGGTTTTTCATTCTGGCTTCTCATCTTCATGAGTATTTTGATTATCCTCCTCCCTGGTAAATCCCTTGTTTTCCATATTCTCTGTTGTTAGCCTCAGGGAGCCACCAGAGCCTGCTCCAGTAATTGAGCATTGAATTTAACGAAATGCCTCTTTCTGATAGGCACTTGGTGGATTCTTGATTCCCTTCCCTTACAGGAACTGCAGTGACTAATTGTTAGAATAGAAGCCTTTGAGTATTTAGCCATTTCAGTAGTTCGTTTTATGTGAACTTGTACAGTTGTTCGTATTGCTTCACTTACTGTTTGGATTTGTTCTCTGTGAGGGTGATTGTAATAATTATCTCCCTGTGCTTCTTTGAGGGGGGTCCAGATTCTGGTTTTGGTCCCCTCTAGGCCATACAGTAATCCTATGGCTGATGCAACTCAATAGGAGGAAGCCACCTCGGCAAGATAGCTTCAGGAAGCCACTTAGGTCCTACCAGAATGAGGTAAAACAAGTTGGTTTTATACAACCTGACAGATCAAGTCGACAGATCAAAACATCATCACTAACTAAAGTTTCAGGTGTGTGGGTTGGGTGTCTAAAACAGCTTATTTTAAAAAATAGATAAGAAAATTAAAAATATAACTGCAACAGGTTACATGGTACTTAATGAAAATTCCTCAGAATAGCTTTCATGACATGTTTTATTTCCAGATGTAATGGCAGGGGTGTTGAAGAGCTCTAATCCTTTGGTCCATCAGTGTGCCCTGGATGCATTTGTTGTCTTTGGCCAGCACACACTTCATGAAGAAGTAAGTTTTGATGGGTAACATGCTTATCGTATTTTGATGTACATTATAATTTGAAAGCCTGAATGCTCCCCATAACAGGTGATTTATGTAATAACTAATGCCTTGGCTGGAGTCAGGGAGTGATACATGTGGATCCTAAGAGTTTCCACACTTTTACCATCTTTTCTGGGAGGGCTCCACTGTGGCTCCCTGTTGCTAACTACCTGAATAGTTTCATACCACATCACACCATCCCCTTGCCAATCCTTTAAATCTTACCAGGGACCAAAACCTGGCCTGCTTCACAGACACACAGAAAGCCGAGGATACTAGATCACACTTGCTCATATATTTCACAAAACTTAACATACATCTCATGTACTTCCTTGCCCAATAGCAAGTCTTTCCAATCAGATTCCTTAAAGAACTTTCTATGTTCCCCATAAGTGTCCTCGCCTGAAATCAAGTTTTTCAACTGCTTCAACTTCCTTATTCTCTTCTAGTTTATAATGCATTGCAAAAAGACGTTTCCATAAGGACATGATCACTTTAGCCAGTTGCTTGTTTTAGTGCGCTCTTTGGTAATCTTGTATCCTCAGACTTTCCTGTGCTTCTATTGAAGGGGCTAGATTCTGATCCTGGTGTTGGGTAGAGCCTGGTATGACACCTATGGTTTGGATGATTCCAGGTGAGTAGCTCGCTGAGTTACTGAAAGACCCACCAGAAAGTAGTGTTTCATTATATTCATTGTTGGATTTTTAACCATGTGCTTCTTTTGTGCTTCTCCTAAGCCTGCCTGGTCATTAGATAGGTTACTAGACTTTGTCAGAGAGGTTCCGGTCATTGTATTTTGATGATCTTACTCTTAAGACTTGCACCTTGCTCTTGCTATGTGACAGGTTCAATGAGTCTTATGCATCATTGCATCACAAAGGCTTCATGGTGTTTGTTAGGGGTGACTTGTTTGCCTTTACCTCAGTCCCTCCTTCCTCCCTAAGAATAAACCAGTTTTTTTTAGGCCGGGTACCATTGTCATCAAGGCAAGTTATTTTTTTTTTTGCATCCTGACATGCAATACTCCTAATGTAATGTCCTGAAAACTGAAAGAAATTCCTGATATTTAAAACTTGTGTATAGCCAACTGAACTTTAAAATTTCATCCTAAAATTCTGAGTGTCATAACAGAAAATGAGGAGAATAAATGGGGAGGTAAATGTAACAGCCCCATAAGTGCAATTAAGTACTAAGTATGACAGTCAGGAAGTGTACTTCTTACACTTAGTATTAAAACGTACTGTCAATTCGGAGGATGGATTGGGTAGGAGGTAGTATCGTCGCTGGCAGTATCAGAGGTAGTAACGTCACACTCCACTGCTGTGCCTCTCGTCCGTGCAGCTCTTCCCTCCCTGAGAGGCGGAGGGGGGAGCCCTGGTACACCCCGCTTCGGTTACCCAGCACTCCAGTTCATTCACTAATGTGGTCCAGGTCAGGACTTCTTCTGTGGCCTTGATTTTGGTGGCCCTGTGCTAGGTCCCTGTGATTGTACATGTCTTAAGGGTTTTAGTGTTTTGATCTCCCCCTTGTTAGGTTTGTGCCTTAACCGGTTAGCAACACCTTGCCTTGGCTTCCCATAGCAGTCAGCTTATGGGCCCCTGGAAAACCCTGTCAGGACTCGGTGGTCCTATGCCTGCGTCTTCCGAGTTTTAGCCTGCCTCGTGTGGGTTTGAAGGTTGCTGTATGCCCTTGTCTCAGGGCGACAGTCGACTTTTTTGCCTCCGTCATGCTGCCTGTTGGATCAACGACACCTTTGACCCGGAGTTTTGCGAGTCATGTTCTCTACTTGTTCTCCAGTTCTATTGTGATGACAATACTGTTAGGGTACAGGCAGCACCCACGTTGCATGTTAGGTTTAGGTTGCTGCAACGTGCTAGGTTGGTTTCCCACCCGGATGCCCCGCTTTGATTATAGGGACCTGAGGATGTTAGACGCTTCGACTTTGGTTCAGTCCACGCTCCCTGGTCCTTCCCCTGTTGTTCACCCTGCACCTTTCCCTCCCCTGATTCTGGCTCCCAAACATCTTAGGGTTTTGGAGTTGGGGCAGGGTTTAGTATGTAATGAGACTCGGGCAGGGAATGGGGCAGACTCAGGCTGCCCCATTTGGATTGGGGACAGAGGCATTCAAGCCGGTTCCTCCTACCAAGGCTTCTGTGTTCCACCAGCAGGTCCCCTTCTTTTCAGCTTTTCCCCTGGACTCTGCCTTTTCTTCAGGGGTAGAAGGTATGAAGTACTGCTCTGCTCTGAGTCCCGACTTGGGGGTTCCCGGGGTTGGGGAGAAGTTGAACTGGGGGCCTTGGGACCCCTTTGCAGTCAGTTGTCTCGACTTCACGTTGAGGAGTGTGTGGTGGGCGTCTCCCGGGTAAGTCCCTCTTTTCCATATCTTTGGTTATGTAGCTCCAGGAAGTCGAAGGGGCTCCCTACAGAAAACCAGCATTGAATATAATGAAATGCCATTTTCTGGGTGAGCCCCGGAGGTTCCCTGGCAACCCTCCCTCTCTCTGGTCAGCAGTTTTTTGCGTTGTTTGATGCTTAGCTCCCAAACTTGAGTTCTGGGTAGCCGGCGTGGGGAGGTCCGGGGCTCCCCCCTCCCCCTCTCAGGGAGGGGAGGGCTTCTTGAGATGATTTCGGTTCTTTAGTGTCCCTGCGGCCCGGTCCTCGACCAGGCCTCCACCCCCAGGAAGCAGCCCGTGACAGCTGACTAACTCCCAGGTACCTATTTACTGCTAGGTAACAGGGGCATTCAGGGTGAAAGAAACATTGCCCATTTGTTTCTGCCTTGTGCGGGAATCGAACCCGCGCCACAGAATTACGAGTCCTGCGTGCTATCCACCAGGCTACGAGGCCCCCCAGCCCGGACAGCTTGTCCGGGCTGCCCGGACAAGCAGTGCAGAAGTGGAGTGTGATGTTTGCTTGTTTCCTTGGGATTGGAGGGAGTTCTGCTTCTCTTTTTGTTTTTTTGTTGTACATTTCTTACCATGTGGGGTTTTGTTATGCATACCTTTCTGGGTGCCTAACCCTGGTTGATGGCAGATAAGGAAAAAAACCCAACCACAGGGGGGTTTTCCAGGGCCATTGCTCCCTGAACCTCTCTGAGGGTGGGGGGGCAGGTTCTGGCTCGTGGTCTCTGGTAGGCTGAACTCTATAGACTAATGCACCGGTCTAATATATCACACATTAGCCCAATAGCTCCAGGGAGCCTCCGGATCTCACCCAGAAAATGGAGTTTCATTACATTCAATGCTGGATTTTTAGTTCCCATGATAAAATAAGGCATTTTAACAATAAGAAAAACTATTTTTGGGAATAATTTATTTGTTCTGCGCACCAGAGGCTTGTCATATTTTATAGCTATGCAGTACAGTGGTTAAGGTATAGGCACCATACAACTGCTGCATATTCCCACTTTGGTCTTACAAAGGTCGTAAACAATTTCTTAAATATTTTGCCATCCCTGTATTTAAAAGTGATTCTAAAGTTGGAAAGTGTAGCATATGCTCCTCACACAATGTTTTTCATGTGATCCTCAGGTGATGGGTTTTTTCCAAAACCACCCCTAAATTTCTTTCTTTATCATTATTCTTTCAAGCTTTTTCACATAATTTGCAGGTTGTGTGGCCTATTTTTTCCTGTCCACATCTAATAATGTGGCATTTATTCACATTAAATTCCATTTGCCAAGTGTTACTCCATACTAATTTTGTCTAGGTCTTTTTGAAGGGCATTACATTTGTGTAAGTTTGTTATCTTCCCTAATAATTTAACATCATAGCATCATGTTTATATAATCTGTATTCCTTCTGATAAACCTTTTATATAGACAATGAACATTACTGCTGCTAGAACTGAACCCTGTGGTACTCCACTAGTGATATTTTTCCAGTCTGATACATTGACTCTGATTACTGTACTGCCCTCCATTTATTGCCAGAAAATATTTCATCCACAATAGAAGTGTAGCTTTGATTTCCTTTAGTTAGGGATTATGTAGGAAAGTGTGTGACTTGGAACCTTAAAGTGCTTAGGGTGCTGCCACATGTTGGGGGGGGAAAGTCTGGGGACTTGGAACCTTAAAGTGCTTAAGGTGCTGCCACATGTTGGGGGGGAAAGTCTGGGGACTTGGAACCTTTAAGTGCTTAAGGTGCTGCCACATGTTGGGGGGGAAAGTCTGGGGACTTGGAATGATCAGGTGCTCAAGATTCTGCCACATGTTTGGGGGGGGGGAGATGATAGCCAGACAAGCAAATGAGCAGATAAACAAATCCACAAGGGCCGTGACGAGGATTCGAACCTGCGTCCGGGAGCATCCCAGACACAGGTGATCTCTGTGATTTGTGATCTCTGTGTGAAATGAGCAGATAGTAGAAGCAATCTGTTAAGTTATTTGTGAGGCCAAAAAAAGGCTTGAAAAAACCTTGTGAATTCTGATGAATGAATTTATTTTTTCTATTGTTGACATGCACTGTTTAAGTTAATTTATATACAATTATTAGAGATTGCCCAATATTTTCAGGTTTTGCCAATGTGCCTTCACAGATGTAAAAAAGAATTGAAAAAAAAAGTTGCCAGCTATTTGAAACAGGAGCTGTTTGTGTTACCAGAAGATCAAACAAAGTTATTACTACTCAAGCAGCAGAATATTTCTTGTATATCTCGGGATATATCAAACATTCAAATGGATTTTAAGCCCATCGGAGGCAGTTCATCTATAGAAACTTTGCGAGTACATGTCAATGAACATAATCCCCAAGATCTACTTAACCAGGATCAGAAGCCATCCAAAAGACTACGAGATGAAGATTTTACTCCAGAAAAAGAAGAAGAACCTGACTTAAAAATGTTGATCACTTCCTTACATAACTCTCATAATATATTAAAAAAAGTAAGAAATAATTTGTATATAGAAGAGAGAGAGAGAGATACAATTAAATCTATTTTACAGGAAATGATATGCACTTGGGATGTGAAAACTAATGAAAATTAACCATTTCATTTAAGATTAGTGTATTTTATCAGTGTTAGGAATACCAGAAATGTTACAATACAAATAAGAGTTATATATATATATATATATATATGTATGTATGTATGTATGTATGTTGTATGCTCTGTTTACTACATCTACACTACAACAGATTGCAACTTATGCATTATACAGTAGAAGAAGCTATTTCATCACTAATCAATCTTGCAGGCATGTAATTTTCAAAAATAAATAATCTCAAATTCTGTGTAGCTCAAAACAGTTTTCTACAATGGGATGCAAGAATGTTTGGAAACTTCCAGAAGATACCCACAATCCTTTGTACATTGCAGGACAGAAATGCCAAAATATATTGTAACTCAAAATAAAAATATTAAACTGGAAATCCTAAGACCAAAAGTTTTAATTAAATGTCATTCATTATATTGGAGGATGTAATGTATTGAAATTACTTTACAGTTTTGCCATTATCATTTCCCAATTTCACACTTTCATTAGGGAGGAAGGCATCAGCCAGAGAAACAAGAGGGCAGTGTAGTAAAGGAAGGTTAACCACTGTACTATGCACACCATGATATTATGGGGAAAGGGTGTGCGCCAACCAACTTATCACGTTAGTACTGTATATCACAATTTGAAACTTCCATGGGTACATGGGCTTACATTCTGTTCCTCAGGGCTTTAGTAAACAGGTACCGTCTGAAAATCAATAACAAAAATTTAGATCCTCCCTGGCTTTGAAAGCATTAGTAATGCGAGAACAACCAGGCTGACTCCAGCTGCAAGCTGACGTATGCAACTGGAGCTCACAGCACAGTTGTGCAGGTCTGGCACATGGCACCACTTAATGAAGAATAAAATAAGTATAAGTAAATGCAATTATTTTGCAGTGATAGTGTCATTACAATCAGGATCATCTATAAAAACTATGTACAGTACAGTGTTCAGGAATCAGTGAACACAATGCTAGTTATGATATTCACAGCATGAGACGAGAGAGAGAGAGGGTTTGCCAATTGTTTCGGGTATCTACGCATATGAAATGACCTCTTGCTCCTTTACAATATAATATAACCTTGTGGAAATGTTTTCATATTCAGCATTTAGTGGCAGGAATGTGAGTAGTTCTGTGGCTACTCTTAGTGATGTTCATTGTATATTAGAACCATTTTGTATCATCACATGAAGTCTACCTGGTGTCGTCTGTGCACATCATGGGCTCCAAGCTTTTTATTTCATCGGCAGATAAAAATGTTGATATGTGATGATTGCATATAGTATGCATATAGCAAAAACTGCTGTTGTTTTATTGTTCAAAAAATATATTTGAACTCATATTAGTACAGGACACGAATACTGTATATCTGAATTATATACCAATATTCTACATGTTTTGTGATACAAATAATATTACCAGCCTGATGTATCATTACACAGGAAAAACCATGGTAAAAAACATTTACAATACAAAGAAAATATGATATAATCGTAAGCAATGTTGGACTGGGCTGAACTCTGATGACTAGTTATAAGATTATTTCACCAGAAACACTTAGTGGTTTGTAACGGTGCATAAAAATGTAGATACTGTAGTTATATTTGTATTCTACTATTTAATATTTTACACGCAGTTTTATTCTAAAAATATAATGTGGCCAAAATATGAGAAACATATTTTTGAGCGTAGGGATGTTCCACACATTTGTTTATATAAATTTTTCAAATTACACACACTGCAGCCACATAGCTGTCGGTGCAAGCGTCGCCGGACGGATATTCACTCGGCTCCCATGAAGTGTTGAACTTGCCTGCTACATCCCCCTCCCCGCTCAGCTCGTTGTCGCCGTGTGGGGGCTTAGTGGGCGGCTGCCGGAGTGTGATGCTCCTTGGGACAGTCCTCTGTCCTTTTTTAGCCTTGTGCTCCTGCTGCCGTCCTCTCCAATTCTGCTGGGCACCTTTTCCTTTTCCTTCTGTTTCGTTTTTCTCCCCCCTCTTCTATCTGCTTGCCGTTTCCTGCCGACCTTTTGCTCGTTCTGGTTCTTCCCTTGGACTTCTATTTTGACGCCCGGGTGCTTGAGGAGGCATACTCTTGCACCCGTAGAACTGTAGTACCCGACGTCGAGAGCGAGGGGAACCTTTTATTGTCAATCCCCCTTTCGTCACTGAACCCGATCTCGACGGACTGTCGGTTTCTTAAGGTGGCGTTTGTGGGGCGTATACTCACGACGCACCCCTAGGAGGCCCCGACAAGATCGGCGATGGCTTCTTGTTGGGTGTCCTGCCTCTAATTGTGGCTCCATGGTGGGTGTGGGGGCACATTCGTGAATGAATTCTTCTTTTCGTCAAGATGATAACCCCTGTTTCGGCTTCTTCTGGTTTACCTTCTCAGGCTCGTGGGGTGGGCGACCAAGCCCCCGAGTCGGTCCGTATTGGAAGACCGGGCTCTGTAGCCTCCGCTGCTTTGGGCCCCGACCTTGCTCCTCCTTTGGCCTCTCTGCCTCCTTCCCCTGGCTCCCCTCCCTCCTCTGTGGTTGGGTCGAGCCCCAAGCCCCCAGTGGTGACTACCTCGTCCCCTGGCGCGGCTCCTTCTCTAGTTGTAACTACTGCACCTTTTAACCCCTCTCTCTCTGGGGGTTCTCACCGCCGTCCTCGTCGCGGCCGCCCTCACTCGATTCCTTCCAGTTCTGCTACCGATCAAGCCTTGTTTGGTCCCGCTTCGTGGGCCAAATATTTTGATCTCCTCCCTCTTGATTCTGCGCCTCCTGACGATTTCTCCCTCCATCGACATCTCATTGATTCCGTGGATGCCTCCATTACTTTCAACCCCACTCGTCTCGGTACACGTATCGTTGCTGCTCCTTCTCAGGATGCTGCTTCCCGCTTGGCTGCCTTATCCTGCCTTGGCGAGACCCCCGTTCGGGTCTCGAAGAACGCTCAGTTGAATGCCGGTGTTGGAACTATTTTGCTCCCGCCCCATGTTGCGACCGGTGTTCGGGACCTGCGCGACTGCCACGACGATATTCGACATATCCTCGCTGCCCAGGGCCATTCTATTCTCCAGGTGGACACGTTTACTCGTCCCCCTCGTGGTAGTCGCCGTCAACCCCTCCGTGTTGTGAAGATTACCTTTGATGGTAGGACCCTTCCACCCTCTGTCATTCTTGCTGGTGCCAGGTGCTCTGTCCAGGAGTACATTCCTTCTCCTCAGCTCTGCAACAAGTGCTGGAGGTTTGGGCATGGTGCCCTCCGCTGCTCCGGGACTGTCTCTCTCTGTCCTTTGTGTGGTGGCGAAGGTCACTCTAAGTCGGAGTGCACTTCTCCCCAGGCTCGTTGCCTCAACTGCGGTGAGGCCCATCCTACGTTCTCCCGTGCGTGTGTCCATTACAAGCTTGAGGCAGCCGTCCTCAACTTGAAGCACCGGGAGCGTTTATCTTTTCCTGAGGCGAGGCGCCAGGTTCGCCGGCTCCCGCCTTATGCTAATATCTCTTATGCTCGCGTGTTGCGCTCTTCCTCTCCTAGTCCTTCCCGCCTTCCTCAGACTCACAACTGTTTCCGGGCCTTGGACCCTGATGCGCCCACTGCCCCCTCCTCTGTTCCTTTGGGTTCTCTCCCGAAGGATCCTCCTCCTGGTCCTCTGTCTGGGGTTTCCCTTCCTTCTACCCGGTCTGTCCTGTCTTCTGTGTCTTCTTCCTCGTCCCCCTCCGATCCTCCTTCCCATCGTCTTCCTCCATCTATCGGCTCTCCCCTCCGCCTGTCGGTACGGGCGGATGTCCATCGCTCTCCTAACGGCCGTCGTGTGTGCTCTCGTTCGGCTTCTCCTGTTGAGACACTGGAATCCGTTGCCCGGTACGTAGTTGCTGGGACACCGGTCTCTTTAAGTCAGAAGCGTAAGCCTGGCTCCTCTCCTTCCTCTTCCCTGGCGGGTAAGAAGGCTTCGCTTTCTTCCTCAGCTCCTCCTTCTGGCTCTGTTGCTCCTTCCCCTCCCGTTTCAGTGCTTGCGCCCCCTGTTCCTGCTATGGAGGTTTCTTTGGCCCCTGCTTCCCTTTCGGTTGCTGCTCTTGCTGGGGTGCGCTCCCCTCTTTCTACTTCCCCTCTTCCTGCTGCTGTCCTTGACTGCTCCTCTCCGTTGTCTCCTCCTCTTCTTCCTCCTCCTCTTCCTCCTCCTCCTCCTCCTCCGGACCCTGCCCGCCCACCTCTGATCTGTTCTCCCGTTTCCTTCCCTCCGTCTTTGCTCAGTTTACCCATGCCCCCTAACCCTGACTTTGCTGACCCTGATCCCGACCCTGATATTCTTTAACGTGCTCTGTTGCTCTTTCGCCTTTGTTTCTTCCTTGTTCTCTGTTTTTGTCCTTTCCCTTCTCGTCGTTGTCCATTCTTCAATGGAACGTTCGAGGTTATTACGCCAATTTCCTCGAACTCCAACTTCTGATTTCGCGGTTTTCGCCCCTTTGTGTCTGTCTCCAGGAGCCAATGCTTGGTGCTCGTCCTGGTCGTTTTCGTGGCTATTCCTTTCTCTCCCCCCCCCCCCCCCAGCCATTGCTGGGGCTTCTAATTCTTCTGCTCTCTTGATTCGGGCTGATGTTCCCTTTGTTCCTTTACTTTTTCCTTCGCCTCTCCATTGTTCTGCTGCTCGTATCTTTGTAGGGAAATGGTACACAGTTTGTTCCATTTATCTCCCCCCGAGTGTCCCGCTCTCTCTTCCTGATTTGAAACACCTCGTAGACTCCTTGCCGGAGCCTGTGCTCTTGCTGGGTGACTTCAATTGTCGTCATTCTCTTTGGGGTGACGTTCTGACGAATACCCGGGGTCGCCTCCTTGAGCCGTTTCTCCTCTCTTCTTCCCTGTCTCTTCTGAATTCTGGTGAGCCCACTCATTTGGACTCTCGGACTCGCACCCTTTCTTGTCTTGATCTTTCTCTCTGCTCTTCTTCTCTTTACTTAGATTTCACGTGGCAGGTTCTTGATGACCTCCATGGAAGTGATCATTTCCCCATCCTTGTTTCCTTTTTCTCCTTTCGCCCTTCCCTCTCTTTCCCTAGGTGGCAGTTTGCTAAGGCAGACTGGACCCTATTTACCCTCAGTGCTGCTCTCTCTGACCTCTCCCTTCTGCCTCTCTCTCGCGCTCTCCTCCTTTTTCATGACACTGTCTTCAACGCTGCCCTCCGCTCTATTCCTCGCTCTTCCTCTCGGGGTCCACGGAAGTGCGTTCCCTGGTGGAATGCCGACTGTGCTCGAGCTGTCCACTGTAAGCGTGCAGCCTGGAAGAGGCACCGCCGTAGGCAGACGACCGATTCTTTTCTTTTCTTTCGGAAAGCGAGTGCGGTGGCCCGTAGGGCCATCCGTACGGCTAAACGTGAATGTTGGGCATCTTATGTCTCAACAATTACGTCCG